GGGCAGATCACTTTCCTAGACTGAATCCCCAAGTACAGATTTTCGATCTTGAAAACTTGAATTCTGTTCATAATTCTGCCATGAATAGATAAGTGACTTAAGCTCTGAGCCCCAGTATCCATCCCGGGGCAGAAAATACACTCTGCCTGAAAGAATACAGCTGGTGAATACCTGGCAAGATCTTGATCAATGGAAGCATCAAAAACATAACACTCTTTTCCTTCTCCAAATAAATTAAAAGAATGGCAATATCAGTTAAAAGTTCCTACAAATCAGCACTCCAACACCATGGGGATCTTTCACAGTTACCACTGAACAAATTCCTCGGTTTCTTTCATTTGTGGAATTCAAAGTTAAATTAGTAACCTGAAAGTTCCAATTATAAGATCATAGAGTTAGAGCATTTTACAGGTGAAGAAACAACCCCAAAAAAGGATCTAATCTCTGGAATCTGCCAAGACCCCTTTAAAAGAAAATCAGGACTTTCAGTGGTTCATAAATGATTCCAAACAATATTTATGCTTTGAACTACAAACTAAAAATGCAGGAGCAGCTACGCAGTACAGTGGATAAAGCATGGGCCCTGGAGTCAGGAGGACCTGAGTTCAAATCTGGCCTCAGACGTATGATACTCACTAGCTGTGTGACCTTGGGCAAGTCACTTAACCCCAATTGCCTCATCAAAAAAGCAAAAATAAACAAATAAACTAAAAATGCATGCAACCAGGCAGCCCATTAGACATGACCTTGTTTCTCCAGTTTAGGTATCTAGACTTCTCAAACCTGAAGTCTGAGATATAAATCTTGGAGTCAGGAAGACCTGAATTCAAATGCAGTCTCAAACACTTATCAGCTGTGTCACCCTGGACAAGTCATTTAAACTCTGCTTATTTCAACTTCCTCAGCTGTGAAAGAAGGATAATAATAACACCTTTTTCTCAGGGTAATTTTGAGAATCAAATGAGATAATATTTGTAAACACACACACACACACACACACACACACACACACACACACACACACACACCCCTTTAGCACACTACCTGCCATATAGCAGGCAATATATCCTCTCTCTTCCTCCCTCAAACTATGACCCCATGAAGCCAGAAAGACAATGTGGCAAGATGGATAAAGGGATGGTCTTAGAGTCAGGAAGATCTGAGCTCAAGTTCTGCCTTTGACATACTGGCTATGTGACTTAAGCCCTAGGCAGCCCTTCAGTGCCCTACCAGCTCTCTAAGACACCAAGTTACACAAGAAGTGATGATCTGGATGGAGGCAGGAGTTTCTGTAGAGCTCCAGAATCATACTCTTTCCCAAAATTATGAAGATAACTTTCAACAATCTGTGCTAGTAGGGAACAGAAAGAGTAAGCACAAGAGATCCCAGATAATCAATAAACTTAATTTCTTTCTTTCTGTGTTCTTTTTTTTTTTGGTGGGGAGAAGAGGGGAAGGCAAATCTGTTATTTTATTGGTTTAGGCAGCTGTCTCTACCAATGCAACTCCAAGTGTTTAATTATAACTATTTATTTCAGCACTACCCCCCACCCAACCAAACCTTTTTTTTATCAGTGTGGCCAAGTTGCAAAATGAATTATTTTGAATTTCACTTTCTCTCCCCTTCTCTATCTTTAACAGAAGAGCCAATAAAGAATAGTGATACAAGAAGAATAGGAAAGGAAACAAGAGGCTAGGATGAAAACTAAATACTAGACAATCATGTAAACTTTGAGTCTTTTAAATAATCATTTAAATATTGAAATACCAAATATTTGCTCAAATATTTGGTAAATGACAAGGTAAAGAGGATGAGAGGAACAAAATAACAGGCATTCAGAGGAAAAAGGAAAGAAAGCTTGGGAAAAGCCCTGGACTAAGAGGCAGGAAACTTGGTTTCAAGTCTCAATTGTGCCACCAACTCATTAATCACTTAACTGCTGTAGGGGTATAAAACTCAAATAGAAACAGGGGCCATTATATCATACATATGGATCCCTGTGGACTGCATATTGACTTAGAAAACACTATCTATGTCATATTGTATTTTTATTTATTTCATTATATATTTGCCAATACATTTTAATCTAGTTCATGCTGTAGTATGAATGTTGTGGGTCATGTTTTTCAACACCTCTACTCTTGACTAGAGTAGAGATCATTCATCTGTAAACTGAAAGAATTGAACTAGATGGTCTCTTAAGATATCAAGTCTGTATCTCTTGGAATAATCTCCACCTTTAAGGTTAGCCAGGAATAAATATGGTAAGGACTGCCTATCCCACATCAGAATGGCCAAAGGTAGAAAGTTAGTTACAACTGATATTGATGGTAACAGTAGCAGTGTACCTAAGATTTCTCAGAATAAAGATTCACTAGAAATATTAATTTGCTATTTTGCACCCTGGTTCAGTATGAATTGAGACAAATTAAGTTTGTAAAATACTAACACTGAAAAACAGGGACTGATGAGAAATTATCAAGGATGGAGAATTGTTTGGTCTCAACACCAAAGACAGTGCCACTCAAAGCAAATATATATTACTTGTCCATAAAGTTTGCCCAGGCTTCTTAGAGTGACTACTTTTTAGCAAGGGAGTCCACTCTATAGGGCTTATTCAAGCATTTGAACTGCCTGCATTCTTCAGGTACCACTTAGGCCCAATTCATTCAAGGGCATTTAGAATCATAAAATTTGGGTCCTAAGAGACCAAAAAGAATAATTCTTAATATGATACATTTCATATGTATTTCATACAATGAGATATTCTTCCTCACCAAGTAAAGAAGGCAGATATTCACTACATCAATCACTAACTTATTATTTTCTGCTACTTGGACAAACAAGAGCTCCAAACTATGAGAAAATCCCCTTCCTGCTCAGCTGGTTTGCCCAGAATCATGAGACTCTAAACAAGCTTGGGCAGTATCATTAGCATATCCAGCTAGTCTCAGGCAAAAAGTCTCAAGGTCGGATCTGAGATGTGTTTCCCATGAAATAATATTAGCATCTTGCATTTGCATGTTTCACAGGACACTATTACATATGTTGTTTCATTTTAGCCTCAGAGACCCCACCAATTAAGTAGGGCAGGTGTTATCCTCATTTTGTAACTGAAGAAAACCAGCCCTAGAGAGGTTAAATAAATTGCCTAAGGCAAGGAGACCAGGTGTCCTACATTTGGTCGCATACTTCTGGATTTCAAATTCCTGTCACTCCTGATGTGTCCCCAAAATGTCCTTTAATGATCCTCACTTGACCATTCTCCTTCCTTCTCTTTTTCTTCTTTTGTCTCTCTTTTCCTTTTTTTCTGCCTGGACCCCCTTGCCCCATCCTCTTAAAAACAGGAGTCATATTTATTTAATAAGGTATAGCTCAATTTGTGCTTTCCAGAAAAATTTCTCAGTAACACCTGTTAATAGACTCTCCCTTCTCTGTTCTCATCCATTTTTCCACGGCAAGTCAGGAAACTAAGACACTTAAAGCTGTATACCCCCACAGGGTAACGTTTTTCCCTTCAGTATTCAAAGATAACAGATTTACCAGGGTTAATCCCTGGGTCCTATATTGGTATATTTGAAATCCTGTCACTTTAGAACAATATACATTTTTTTTAACAATATACATTTGGTAAGGAAAAACAGAGTGGTAAAAGAGAAAGTTCATTGGGTCAGCAGTCAGATAATTTAGGTTCTAATAATAATAATAATCGCTAACATTTATACAATAATTTAAGGTCTGCAAAATGCCCTACATTTACAAAATCCTCTATCTGGCATTTAATGTGCTTCACAAATTGGCCTCTATCTACTCTTCCAGTCTTCTTATGCTTTCCTCCCCTCCATGCACTCTATGATCCAGCTACAGTGCCCTACAACAAGAATCTTGATTTCCCATATTCTGTGCCTTTTTCTTGGCTGTTTCCATTCTTGTAATCCTCTCCTCCTCATCTTCCATTCCAAGGTATCCTGGCTTCCTTCAACACTCCATACAAATTCTAACCTTCCGCAGAAAGTGTTTTCTGGTCCTGTTCCACCTCTACCCCCCACTCTCATTCCCCACTTAGTCCCTTACCTCTAAGAAGGAAAATATTTCATACATACAGACTGTCCCAAAAGTCTTAGTGTAGTTTTAAGCTAATAGCTTAAGTAGCTTTTCATTTTAAGCTAATAGCTTAAAATTCCACTAAGACTTTTGGGACACCCTATATAGGCAGGTAACTTCCATTTATACAAAATATCTCTTGTTCTCTCTCCCATTAGAATGTGAGCTCCTTGAAGGGACTGTGCTTTTGCCTTTCTTTGTATCCTTAGTGTTTAGCACAGTGCCTAGCACATAGTAAGTGCTTAACAATACTGGTTGAATGACTGAATGACATATGGCACCTCTTTTGATTCATACAACCTTGTGAGGTAGCTGCTATCATTTCCATTTTGGGGATGAGGAAAATGAGGCTGATAAGTTATGTCACTTGCAAAGTATCACACAGCTAGTAAGTAACTGAGGCAGGATTTGAGTTTGGGTCTTTCATTTACTAGCTATATGATCTTGTACAAATCACTTAACCTCTTGATGCCTCAGTTTTCTCATCTCTAAAATGGGAATGATAACACCAGCCCCACCTAAATTCATGCACTTGTGAAAAATAAAAAGAGATGACATACATGAAAACACTTTGAAAATCATAAAGAACTATGTAAATATTAGTTATCATTATGACTTTTTGTGAATGGCAGAGTTGGGAGTAGGGGTTAGAGTTTTGACACCACCAAGTCCAAGATACATCACACAGCCTCTGTTCTATTTACTGAGAAGTCTAAAATCAAGCACTTAGCTTCTATGTATAGCAGATAATACATTATAAAAGTGGCTAGAATAAGAATTATTTTCCTTTCTTCCAAAACGTACGTGTCAATTGGTGTCATACGTCTTTGCTCTTCTTGTGGAGGCAGTTGTTCCTTAACTAAACAATATATTTTTGTCATGTGTAAAAATGTAGAATGTGGCTGTGACCCCAGGCTCTGCTGACAGAGTTGCTAATGGAGATGGGATGCCTGGTGAGGAACAATCTGAAAACAAAGAGGAAGACCCTCATGCAGGCGCTGTGAAGTTTGGATGGGTGAAAGGTGTGCTGGTGAGAAAACTCTTGTGTTCTGTGAAAAGTCAGTGGGCTCTTTTAATAAACTAAATATTAATACAGCTTGGAAAAGACAATCCTTCGTTTTACCATAATCACTTTGGCCTGTCTCCCTTCAACACTATTGATAAGAGATCTTTGTCCCTCTAATCCACAGGTGAGATGCATGCTGAACATCTGGGGTGTGATGCTTTTCATTCGCCTCTCCTGGATTGTAGGTGAAGCTGGAATTGGTAGGCATTTTTCCCTCCTGAGCATAATTTTCATCAGTGTCAATGATAAATCCAATTTGTGACATTTTTTCGCCATTAATGCTGAATGTGAAATGAGAGTTAGGGGAAATCATTTACAAGTGGGGCCCGTTTTTATGTCTTTGATAGTGTTTTTCAGAAGGGGCAAAAGGTGAAAAATTAACCCCTGTCAAGCTGGAATTTTCCAGACTGCCAACCAAGTCAATGCTCAGGTGAACATATATTCTTTGAGAGTTTTAAAGCAGAATGAATGCATACATGTATACACACATATACATATGCAGACATATTGATACGTTTATGGCTATATATTCATATATGCATATATTCATGGGCATAAATATTACATTTCAGCTAAATATATGCCTATATATTTTCAGATAAATACATGTCTATATAATAGTACCTATATTACTAATAGCATTTATATATTGCTCTAAGGTTTGCAAAACACTACTCAAAATCTCTTTTGATTTTCACAACAACCGTGGGAGATAGACCCACTTTACACATGGGGAAACTGAAACAGACAAAGGTTAAGAGATTTGCCTAGGATCACATATATAGCATCTGAGGCTGTATTTGAACTCAGGTCTTCCTCACTCCAGTTCCAGCACTCTATCTACTGTACCACCCACTTGACTTTCCATCATCATAGAACATGTATACAAGACTACGCAGTAACATTTCACAAAATTTAAAAAAAATGAAGGCTAGGTTTGGGAAAAGAACAGGAAGTCAGTGAAAAGCTGATCTGATTTTAGTGAAAAGGTTGAATTATAGAATTTTTTTAGACTAATGCAACCTCACTACTTTCAGGTACAGACAGTAACAGCAATCAAGATTAACAAAGTACTGCCAGATAAAGGTCCTGGCTGAGTAACTTTAATGACCAGATGATAAGCATTTATAACTAGTACATTGTTTAGATGCTTCCAATGACACTAAAGAGATTTTAGGAGGGCTTGAAAAGTTTAGTTTGCTTTCTTCAATTGACTATCTTGTGTATACTACCATATCATTCAACAAACTCCCTTTCTATGGATAGCAGATATGTAAACTTCAGTCAGGGATCAGCTGGGTGGCACAGTGGATAGAGGGGGACAGGAGTCAGGAAGACCTGAGTTCACATCTGATCTCAGACACTAGCTGTGTGACCCTGGGCAAGTCACTTAACCCCATTTGCCTTAGTTTCCTCATCTAATATAATGAACTGGAGAAGGAAATGACAAAGCACTCTAGTACTTTTGTCAAGAAAACCCCAAATGGGGTCAAGAAGAGTTGGACAAAATTGAAACAAGTGAACAACAAAAACTTTAGTCCACAAACTCAGAATCTATGGAATTCAAGGTTGTGGTTTTGTTGCACTGGTATATGTAAAATGTAGGATGTATACACTTTGTTAGAGGAGTAGTGTTCGATGGTCTTCTAGAGATTCCAGCTTAGAATCTTCTATGATACTATACCATTATTTAGGCACTTTCCAGTTCAGGATGTAGTTGGTTATTACTTATTACCACTATCCCTCGACATACGTACACATTCAGAGCCACCCAAAGACTTACCCAAAAGAACAAGAGGCAAGTTGTTGTCCAGAAATGGAGCCAAATCACATAGTTTTCCATGTTTCATGTTTGGCAACGGCCCAGTTCCTGACAAAGAGCTGCTTGCCGGTTTTATGATGCATATCAAATGAATGCTTACTGCCAGAGGGCCCAAGATAAGTAGATGCAGTTCCATGGAAAATCTGCATCTTAATATTGCCAAGTTTTTTGCTCTAGGGTTTCATGCGAAATTAGTTTTTTAAGGGCAGTTTAGTAACTTACTGAGATCATCAAGAAACATTACTTTGTTTGGAGGTGTGAGAGTAGCCAAGGGCAAGAGTAATTCTTTTTAATGTAACTTATTTAACATCCATATGTTTGGGTAATCATCTGAACTTTAATCAGATCTTACATTACTCTTCGAAGTCATTTCCTCTTACATGTCTAGAGTGAAACTGTGATTCTCTAAGAATAGTATTCACTGCTTAACTGTTATTACACAACTAGGTTTTGGTGTTATTTTAGTATGAACCTTTTACTTAAGTAGTTAAAGCTGACTTTGGGAGAGGTATAAAATTCTACTTGAATAGGTGTCCAGTGGGCTTTTCCTTTGAACATATTTAGTTTGGACATAAAGAAATTCTCAAAGAGGGCACTTTAGTGAGCAGTTAAAACTTATTATGGCATAAGCTACTGTGACTTTTTAGTGGGTATTTCCATGAACTGAAAGTTAAATGAGTTGATTAAGTCATCCCCTGGGTCCCATTTGTATTCTCTTTATTGGGATAAACAAAAGAAAAGACAATTATTTTGATTCAGGGTCAGTCTTGGGCAGACCTGAATAAAATGCCCAGATATTTAGAAGTAGAAATGGAACTGACCAATAGTAATGCTAGAAGCAGCATCTCTTTGGAAACCATGTGGAAGTAGCCAAGGGCAACTCTCTTGGCTCCTAAGAAAAATGATTGAATATTTCAGTTGGAGATTCTACCTATTGCTTGTCCCCTTTTCTGCCCTAGAGGCCTTAGCTCATTGCATGACAAGACAGTAAACAAGTTTGCCTCTGATGTGAGGCAATACCATCCTATTTTGCTTCTCCCAAGGGTCTGACTGAAGCTAGATTTGACAAGAGTAAAATAGTCAACCTCTGACTTTGAAAGTTCATCCTGTTTCCATCTTTATGTCTCCTCTGTATGCTCTTCTGAAAGGCCATGGCCAGAGATTCCACCTATGTCTATTAGTCAAATAATCTCTCAACAATAAGGTGTGGCAACCATCTCTACTGAGACTTCCCTTGATGGAGGACAAGTGGGTTTAGCCTGGAAGATGCTGGGAGCCAGGCGAAATGGCTTTACCAGCTAGCCACTGTGTCTTTGCTCTGCCTCAGTAGAGTTGGGCAAAGCCTGTCTCCTCTGCAAAATACCCTGCATAGGTATCTTCTGACAGATAGGTATTTTCATTTTTTTATCACTTTTCACCCAGAAATAATTCCAGTAAAAGGCAGAATTCTAAGAAAATGGGCTGATACAGAGTATTATATATTATCAAAATATTCTTATAATAAGAATTATCTGTAATATTAAATATATTTCTCCTTAATTATGTGGCAAAATGGATATAGAGTCTTGCACATAGTAGATACTTAATAAATATTTATTACATTGAATCTGGAATGTGTGTGAATCTGATATGCAAACAAATCATAATCTAGCTATGGCATGGAAAATTAATCAGTCCATAGCTTTCCAGTACTTTGTTGATTATAGGAATCACATTCCCATTTTGATCAGCCAGAGTTGCTGGCTTATCACAGGCATACTGACATCATAGCATTGTATTTCCTGGTCCTCATCCCCATCACTACTAGGAGAAGGAAACTAAAGAGGGGAAAACATTGTGAGAACATTTCCGATCCAGTTTTTTAGACTTGAGTCCTAAAAAGTTCAGATCTCCTATGATCACTATAGGCCTATTGAAGTTTATACAAATGATCTATAGATTATTCCATCATTTAACTACCTTTATTTTTTCCTTTTTCAACTGAGGTCTTGGTGTGATTATCATCGGTTTAGCCGTGACAGTGACTGCTATCACTGGCTTATCCACCTCTGCTATTGCCACAAATGGATTTGTCAGAGGAGGTAATCAAAATTGTAGTATATATGCCCACTTGCAAAATAAAGGTAATATAAGCTCAAACAGATCTCCACTGACCTTTCCGGGGTGTTTTCAAAGGTAATCCCACTTGATTTTTTTTCAGCCAAAATGGACACAGATAAAATGGGAACGACTGTAATCATCATCAACCCCACAACCTTCTCACTCAGGTTCTCATTCAGGCAAGAAGGTCAAACATCATATCTGAATATTTTCTCTCCCGGGACATTTGCTTTAGTCAATTTTTCTTTTCAGGGCTGTACCGTGAATTGTGTTCCCTTTTAGAAACTGTCCGTCAGAATGAGTGGTTTCATGTCAGTCCCATCTGTTTCTTCAGAGCACAGAGAACCCCCAATAGAGCCCTCGGGTTTTGGCGTGGGCATGAAAGCTTAAATAAAAGGTTATAGGAATACAAGTTAAATATAACATCTTCTATCTTTCATTGCTGACAGGTCTTGGAGTTCTCATAATTCTTCTTTCCACCATGGTAACCTCTATTACTGGGTTGTCAACTTCTGCGATAGCAACTAACGGGTTTGTACGTGGAGGTAAAATCTCTAAGGTTTCTAATGCCCTCAGCACTCACCGTGGGTAGGCAAAAACTTTTCATTCACTATTTTTCACGGGGTAAGAACAAGAAAGTGGCCCAATGTCCTTGAGGAGGACTTCACCAGTCAGCTGGTTGAGAAACCAATCACAAAAGGAACCATGAGGTAATGTATGTAAAGATCAAATCAGTTATGCTGTTGTTTTTTTTAAAAATAAATTTCTAATGAATTGATCTCTTCAGTGCGTTTCAGGTAACATCTCCTCGATCCTTGACATCCACATGTTAACATTTCATTTTTCAGGTTAATGCCTAAGCTTCTTCTCGGAGAACAAATCTCGAAACTCAGTTGACTTTTAAAGTTTAGTGCATTTCAGGTACTATGCAGGCTGGTGCGGTGAAAGTGTTCAGAACGTTTCAGGTTCTCCATACAGCAGGACACAATGGACATCTTCCTTTTTTAAGGGCTGATCACATCGCTAAGTATTGGAGCCAAATGCCTTTTCTGGGGATTTTTCAGGTCTTGCATTCATCGTCGTTGGCCTAAGCGTCGTAGTGACAACAGTAACAGGTATCTCTATGTCAGCTATTTGCACGAATGGAGTAGTGAGAGGAGGTAAGCCAATTCATTTATATCATGGGGTATATATTTTGGTAATGTAGAAATAACTAAACCTGGTTTCTTTTGAAAGTTGAAAGTGATATTAGTATCTCTGTGGCAAATTACCGTTACTTTAAAATCTTTAAAAACATTCAAATTCTCAGGCAACTTTCTCCTCAATTAAGACAAACTATTGTCTTGGAATCAGTCTCTGATCCATTTCCTGTGATTGAAACTGATTGGGAAAATGGACACTGGCCAAGGTGTCTTACTAATAAAAATGACTGGCATTTATATGTATGGCTGCATTAATCCATCCTGTGGATTATCTCATGATTATCTCAACAACTGCATGAGATTGGTAGTGCAGGTATTATTATTGACATTTTGTAGATAAGAAAACTGAGGCTCAGAAAGATAATGATCGTCAAAAGGAGGAGTCAAATTCAGGCCTGCTTGACTTCAAGTCCAAAAGCCATTATGTCAAGGCTACCCTTCTTGGTAGAAAGTTCTATCGTTGTGCAATGGTGAAAAGCAGGAGATTCCCCTGACACAAGCATCCCTGGTTGTCTTCATTCTACTTCATCCTACACTTTCAATCCTGAGAACTTCTCCCCACATTTACACCTACTGTCTCCAGTATTCACCTACCGCTCCATACTACCAATGGCAAAGAGGCGTGGGAAATTAAATTCTAAAGCTTCAATCAAGGCTTTATGAATAGGGTTGATCCCAGGTATAGTTCTGAAGTAAGTAAAGTTCATCAAAATGCTCTTTCATCCTCCTTTCCATGACCTCCTTTCTCATCCAATACCCTTAATCTGTCCTCTAGATGACTGAAGCTTGCATCATTGTTTTTTGCCTTTCTCTTACAAGCACATAGCACAGTGCCTGGCACATAGTAGGTGTACCACCTGACTTCCCTTGTTAAGCTTACGTTTTATGCTTTTGCAATAGCTAGGTGGCATAGTGGCTACAATTCTGGACCTGGAGTTAGGGATATCTGAGTTCAGCTCTGACCTCAGGCTGTTACAAATTGTGTGACCCTAGGGAAGTCACTTAGATAAAAACTGTCTGCTTCAGTTTCCTCATCTGAAAAAATGGGGATAACAATAGCACCTACCTCCCTAAGGTGCCATGAGGATAAAATGAGCTAAAGTTTGTAAGGCACTTTACAAACCTTAAAGAGCTATATAAATGATACATATTTTTATTGTGATTTCCTCAGTGTCAAGGTGACTAACTAGGTATTTAGGTATGCTAATCAATAGTAAGGTGCTAACGTGAGACAATAGCTTAAAGAGCAACCTTGTAGCTCAGTGCCTGCCACACAGTAAGGGCTTACTTAATAAATGCTTGCTGAGAGCATATTTGCCTTTTAATTGAGATTTTTAAAACATGTTGATTCTTTTTGTTTTGATTTCACTTCATTTTCTGATATATACCACTGTCCTCCCCAACACAGAGTTATCCTTCCCTTACAAAAAAGAACAAGAAGGGGGGGGGGAAGCATTTCAGCAAAACTAACCAGCATATCAATCAGATCCAACAGATATGCAGTGTTTCATGTCCGTAGTCATCCACCTCTTCAAAGAAGGGAGGGAAGTTCATTCTCATTTCTTCTTTGAGAGCTAGAGTAGTCACTCTAATTACCCAGCATTCATTAACTTGCACTTTTGATTCCTTAACCTAAAAAAAATTCTTCCAATAATGTGAATTTCAGAGCAGTAAAGAAGATATTCTGAGGAAGGAGGGGCCTTTTAAAGGCCCTACTTAACTCATTCTGTACTTTCTCTCTTCCCATATTTAATAATAATAATTGGCACTTACATAGCTTTAAGATTTGTAAAATATAAATACACTCACACATATAGGTATGCATCCGTAGATATATATGCATATATGGGGTGACTAGGTGGTGCAGTGGATAAAGTATCAAGCTTGAAGTGAAGAAGACTCATCAAATCTGGCCTCAGAACAGTTCCTAGCCGTGTGACTCTAGGCAAGTCACCTAACCCTGTTTGCCTCAGTTTCCTCATCTGTAATATGAGCTAAAGAAGGAAATGGCAAACCACTCTAGTATCTTTGCCAAAAAAAACTCAAACGGGGTCATGAAGAGTCAGACATGACTGAAATGGCTGAACAACAAAAATATGCATGTATATACACACATATTATTTCATTGGATCCACATAAAAATCTTGTGAGAGGTGCTATTATTCACCCCATTTTGTAGATGAGCAAATGAAGGTTTATAAGAGACACTTGGAAGACAACATAGGACAATAGTCTGTCAAGCCAAGGGATCTAGAAGACCTGAGTTCAAATCCTACTTCTAACACCCTACCTACCTGTTCTGGGGAAGCCACTTAATCTCCCTGAGCCTCAGTTTCCACATCTGTAAAATGAGGGCTTTGGACTAAATGGTCTCCGAAGTCTCTTCCAGTTCTAGATCCCATGGCCCTGTGACTGATGAACCTATTTCTTTCCCAGAGTCACACAACTAGTAGTCCCTGTGGAGACTGAATCCAGATCCCCCTGTCTTCAAGTCCAACATTCAAGTCATCATCCCTCACTGCCCCTCAAAGTGTGGTCCTGGAGTAGAGGGAATTTCTGTATTCTAGCTTGTAATATTCAAGCTTTTTTTTAAAATGGAATTTTCATTGATTGGCACTTCATAGGGCACCTAATCAGCCCTTATGAGCTCCTTATGTACCAAGAGGCATCATTACTGTACACAACTACTAGTCCTATGCCTGTAAGGGCATTAATAGCCATTAAACACTTTCTATGCCTCAGGGGGCAGCTATTAATTAAATCATAGAATCATGCAATCTCAGAGTTGGAAATGACCTTAGAGCTCAGAGGACATCTAATTCAACGCCCTGCTGAGGCATGAATCTCCTCTACAGAATTCCCACAGAGTAGCCCCTTCCCCTTAAAGAGGTTACTCTGCTTATTTACTTCCAGTAATGAAAAACTCTCTATCTCTGAGCTTCTTTACCTTTCCCCAATGCCAGCCTCGCCCAGCGTCCACATTTGGACGCACACATGGGTGCTGTCTAAATCCATACGCTCCTGGAGTAAAAAAGGAAATTCAAGACCAATATTAAAGAATGACTGAGGGTACACAGCATTGGGCTGGAATATAACAGATGTTTCTGAGATGATAAAATCATATTGGTGAAATTATATTTTGGGGAGCTCTTACATGAAGGAATTCTATAATAAATTATTTTGTAAATCAAAGAATTATTTCATAGAATGACTAATGATTTCATAATTCACCTTTGTGTGAATCTAGATTTTCACATATTGGTTGAGTTTAAAGGAAGTTACACTTATGCTGGCACAGTGGATAGAGTGCCAGCCCCAGAGTCAAGAGGACCTGAGTTCAAATCTAGCCTCAACTCTTACTAACTGTGTGGCTCTAGGCAAATCATTTAATCTCTGTTAGCTTCAGTTTCCTCAGCTGTAAAATGGTGATCACAATAATACCTAAATTCAGGAAGATGAATCTTTCTTTGTTCAAGTCCAGCCTCAGACACTTCCTAGCTGTGACCCTGGGCAATTCACTTCACCCTGTTTGCCTCAGTTTTCTCTTCTGTAAAATGAGCTAGATAAGGAAATGGCAAGCCACTCTAGTATCTGGGATCACAAAGAGTCAAACATGATTAATCGACTAAATAACAACATCTATGCTGGACTCCTTACAAAACAGAGACAGACCAGGTCCTTCCTCAAATTCCCACCTAGGGAGGGGGAATAGATTGTGATTTTATCTGCATGTAGAACTCCCAGGTGAGAAAAATCCTTTTACTAATGCATATTGGTAACTTCTTCACAATTTATAGACTTCAAGAGTTGCCCAGAAGACTCAGGAGTTAAGTGACTCATCCATGGTCACACAAATGGCATATTTTAGAAGCAATACTTGAACTCACAGCTTCCTGGCTCCAAGGCCAATTGTCTATCCATTATACTACACTGCCTCTAGGCCCCTGTGATTATGAGGAAGTTGCTACATTTTCATTGGAATATTTAGAATTCCAAGTTCAATACAATTAGTCACCAAATGGACTCTTGGAGAAATCCACTTGTGTAAAATAATGTTCTCTCTCTGTTATAGGTGGGGCTTACTATCTCATTTCTAGAAGCTTGGGGCCAGAATTTGGTGGCTCCATAGGCCTCATCTTTGCTTTTGCCAATGCAGTGGCTGTCGCTATGTATGTAGTGGGATTCGCTGAAACCGTGGTTGACCTTCTTGCGGTAAATTACAATTAGGGGTGTTTTTTTTTCCTTTGGGCTGGAGAATTAGGTCTTTTAGTTTCTTTAGGGTACTAGATAGTACCTTGCACTGAGTAAGCATGTAACAAATGCTTGTTGAACTGAATTGAATTTAGAACAAATTCTGCCTATACAAGAACAAGGCAAAATGGGCTTAAACTGTAAAACAGTAAGGTATGTCAAATAGAACAGAGATTCCTAATTTGCAGTAAATGGTTACCTCCAGAAATGGAAAGAAATGTTGGGAAAATAACTATATTCCAATGGTCAAATCAAGTCAACAAGCATTTATTTAGCAGCTACTATGTGCCAGGTACAGTACTAAGTATAGAGGATACAAAAAACCAAAAAGACAAAAAACATTCCCTGCTCTCAAGTTCACAATCTAATTGGGGGAGGAGGGGGAGAAGACAACATGCAAACCACTATGTACGACCAAGATATGCACAGGATAAATTTGAGACAATCACACAGGAGAGGGACTAGTATTAAGGAGGAATGGGAAAGTCTTCTTGAAGAAGGTAGGACTCGAAGGAAATCAGGGTTAAAAAGTAGTAGTGTTAGTGAAAAAAATTCATAGACTGGAGACAGATCAACTTTATGATACTTTAAAAATGCTGCTATGTAAGTTTTTTTATTAAAAAAATCTTATATTTTATTTCTTATGTGCAAATGCATGACAAACTCTAGAATATATTTTCTTTCATAGTGAATAGGGGATACGGGAAGGTTTACTGAGAGCTAAGGAAGATGGGGATGACATAGATTGGGAGCCCCTCCCTGAATCAAGAGGCCCCTGCTTCAGAAGTTTGTGGAGTCCTCCAGGTCAGATTCTCACCAGTCTGGCATGGTGAAAGGATAGGTTTCCTATGAGTCAAGGGGACATTTTAGTTAATGTGCAAATCTCCCAGTGAACACAGGGTCCTTGAGGACACAGGTTTTATTTTTGTCCTCATATCTCCAGTACCTGGCATAGTGCCTAACACATGGTAGGTAGGCATATAATAAATACTTGTTGAATTAAATTGAATTGAAATGGTGATAGGACCATAGGATCCCCTAGGCCTTCACCCCTATGTAAAGGCTGGAGACCATTATTCCTCTCTCCACCTCATAAAAACTATTCATTTTTCTCCCTGAATAGAGTCCCTCCCCCATCAATGGTGAGTTTTTAATATTTAATCCTTGGGTTTCTATTGCCTCTCCCTGCCCCAAAGGATTCATATTTGACCAAAGCAAGATCAAAGCATGGATTGTTGGATTTATTGGACCAAAGGATCATAGATCTAGAGAGGGGAGGGATGTCAGATAATCTACTCCACTTCCTCATTTTACAGATGAGGAAACTGAGGACCAAGGAGATTAAGTGACTGTAACTCATTTGTACAAAAGTACCTTTCTTGAGAACCAAATGAATAAACAAGTGAAATATAGATATATATGTATATACACACATGTATTATGTATATATATACATATATGTGTACATGTGTACATATATGTGTGTATGGATATGTAGATGTATATCACAACAGTTAGCATCTTTAATATATACATTTTCAGATATATTACTTAGCAAGTCTTTAAGCAGGTATTTGTTTTCTCCTCCTTACATTTTAATTTAGCCATTTTCTCTCAATTCAGGAGTTCAAAAAACCTCCAACAAAGTGGCATTCTTCCCAAACTGAGCAGGCTGCCCCTTTTACGGTGAATTCCCCTTATCTGATGTTATGATAGCTTCCCCCCAAAAGTAAAGAGGATGGACTCCTAAGATTCCAGCTCCTAACCTTATGTCTCAAGGGCATATAATCACAGGAAACAAGACTTATAAGGGTTTTTTTTAATTCCCTAAAATTGATCAATCCATCATTTTCTTTAATTTCACATTGTCTGCAGACAGAGATTCATAGTATCTCTGCTTCCCTTTAATTGTATTAATAACACCTATCTGCAAGAAACAGTGTTCACAATAGTACTTATTATTCTTTTCTAGGAGAGCAACTCAATAATGGTGGATAAAAGCAACGACATCAGAATAATAGGTTCCATTACAGTGGTGATTCTTTTAGGTATTTCGGTGGCCGGAATGGAATGGGAAGCCAAGGTGAATTTTTCAAAATGATGTATCAATAGCTGCCAGTCCACTTCTGAACAAATTACAGCAGGCCAGGAGAGAGGCAAAGAGAACCATATGCTCGAAGAGAATTGCTCAGTTATTACTTGTCATGGCAACAAGGGCGATTTAAAGCTGGGTAGAACATAAGACCCTCCAAAGTGCTGGGCTCAGGCAGAGTCAGAACACGATGTCCATGTGCTACAGGCCCTCTTTGTTTCCTAGGGGCACTTCCAGCAGCATCTCACACACAAGGTCCACCTCCTCCTTCCCACCCCCCAGCCTCCTAGAGCCTGGCTCATTCTAGCTACTTGTACCTCTCACCATTCTCCCCACCCTTCTACCCCCACACCAGCTATTTCGCTTCTGGCTCTCATGTTTTACTTTCACACTCTATCTTGTAGTAAATAATTATTTGTGGTCATGTCATCTTCCCTACTAAGCTGTTAGTTCTGTGAGGCTTGAGACTAGGTCATATCCTTCATTGAAATCCCCAAGCTCCCCTAATACAGCGCCTTGCACGTAGTCAGTGCTCAATACATGTTTGCTGAGTGAATGAGTTATAATTGGTGCAGCCCATAAGAATTGTTAAGAAGGTGAGAGGGTGTGTGGATGACAGCAGATAACCACCTCCCTCCCTCACACGCAGACCTATGACACCATGGCAGAGGAGTAATATGCTTTTCGGAAGTATAATCTGAGGATGCCACAGGTTCCGGGCTACACAGGAGCACCTCAGAATTTCCCCACCTCCACCCTGACCTATAATTTCATTGGTACAGCAAGCTTCCAGTATGGAACCTCCCTCCACCAATACACATTGGCAACTCCTCTATAATTATAGTTTTAGAAATTTCTCAACCCCAAATTATAGAATTTGAGAGTAGAAAGGGATCTCAGTGGCCAGCTAGGCGAACCCATACACAAAAGGAATTTCTTCTATAATGTATCAGCCAAGTGATGGTCTAATCTCTACTTAAAGACCTCCATGGAGAGGAAACCTAAAATTTTTTGAGGCAGGAAATTCCACTTTGGGACAATTTTTGTGGTTGGGAAGTTTTTACTGACATCCAGCCTCAATTTGCTTCTTCCAGACTTCTACCCATTCCTCCTGGTTCCATCCTCTGAGGCCAAATAGAACTTGTTTAATCCCTCTTCCATGTAACATCACATATTGAAGACAGCTTTTACTTTACCCTTGAGTTTTCTTTTCTCTAGGCTAACATGTTCAATTCCTTCAAGTGATCCTCAAATGTCATGGACACAAGAACCTTCATCATCATCATTGCCTCCCTTGAAACACTCTGGCATATCAACATCCTTCTTAAACCCTGCACCAACAATTGAACATAATTTTCTAGACGAGGTCTGAAGAGTGCATAGTATAATGGGACTATTGCCTTCCTATTTCTAGATGCTTTGGCCTTCTTTAAGTAGCTCAAAATCAAGGTAGCCTTTTTGGCTGCCATATCATACTGCAACTCACATTCAGCTTGTAATTCACTAAAGACCCCAAATTATTTCCAGAAAAACTGCTATCTAACCATGCCTCCCTCCTCCTATTTCTATAAAGCTGGTCTTCTTGTACCCAGCTGCAAAATTTTACATTATCCCTAATGATTTCCATCTTTTAAAAATTAAGCCCAATGCTTTAACCTGTTAAGATCCTTTTGAATTATATGTCTTCTAGTGTGTTGACTATCCCTCCACACTTTGTGGCATTTATAAATTTGATGAATACACTATCTGTGTCTTTGTTCAAGTCATTGTTAAAAATTTAAACTGCACAGGGCCAAGCACAGATCTCTGGATACTCCATTGGTAACCTTCTTCCAAGTCGACATTGAATAATTAACAACCTCTCCTTGAATCCAGTTATCCAACAATTTCTGTATCTATCAGATTACATTATCATCTAACCCCTCTCTACCTTCTGCATGAGAATATAATGATATCCTTTATCAGAAGTTTTGCTAAAATCTAGGCAAATTATGTCCATAGCATTCCCCTCATGTACTGATATAAAAAACATAAACAAGATTATTCTGCATGGTGGCTCTTTTTAATCACTGCATTTCTGACTAATAATAATGATAATAATAATAGTTATGGCTATTATTTAGATAGTACTTTAAAGTTTGGAATTTTGATCACATACATTCTTCTGCTAAAAAAAAATCTTCAGTATCTCCCAATTGCCTTCAAAGTTAAGTATAAACTCATTTTCCTTACAGTCAAGGTTCATCATAAATTGACCATTTATCTTTCTAGTCTTATATTAATTCATCTCCATAAATTCCAGTGGAATTGCTCTACTCTTTATCCCTTACATGTGTGATTTACTCTCCCACCTCTGCTTTTGCTCACACAATTCCATGTACCTGGAACACTACCAGCCCTCACCCCGTTTGTCTATTACATTCCTTGAAGCCTGATTTAAATGCATAACCTTCATGAGGTCTCCCTTGAATCCCCCTTGAAGGTAATAACTTTTCCCTTCAATTTTCCTAGAACATTTTATTACCTCTCTAATGCACCTATTACTTGGTTTTAATCTATTATGGTTTTCTATAGTTGCTTCTTATCATCCTGCTAGAGTGTAAGCTTCATGAGGGAAGGGGATTTTGTCTTATCTGAATCTTATATTGCACCTAGTATAATGCTCTGAACACATTTTTTAACGTTTGTTCAATGAATGAATGAATTCTGGTGTGTATGTATTTTAAAAACTGACCCATTACTTTGTAGTCCTCCAGCACAGTCTTTGCACAAGACAGGATAAGAACAAATCCAGTTATTTTCTAAAATAGAGACAACAAAGCAATGACAAAGTAAGATCTATCCGTCTTCTCCTCATCCAAAAGACTTGCTTAAATTCAATGGTCTAATTTGAATTTCTTTTTCCAGGCACAAGTGATACTTCTCATTATCCTTCTCATTGCAATTGTAAATTTCTTCATTGGAACTGTCATTCCCTCCAATCAGGAGAAGAAATCCAGGGGTTTTTTTAATTACCAAGGTAAGTGCTGCTAAGACTTTCTGATTTTGAATGTTCCAGTTCTTTTTTATGAGCCACCATCATCCTATTTTGGGAACCGAGAACAAACATGAGTGAAGGTCAACTGATGTAAGTACACTGCAACCACTGTGAAACCACAGTACAATGCAAGCTTCTATGTTTCTTTCTTCCTGAAAAAAAATCCCTCAAAATATTTTACTCTACTATAGCTATAACAGCAAGCATTTAGATAGTGTTTTAAGATTTGCAAAGCACTTTACAAATACTTTTTAATTTGACCCTCACAACAACCCTGTGAGGTAGGTACTATTATTATTCCCATTTTATAGATGAGGAAACTGAGGCATAGAGAGACATTAAGTGACTTGCTCAGGGTCACACAGCTAATAAGTGTTTGAAGCTGGATTTGGATTTCTGATTCCGTCACTCTATCCACTGTGCCACCTAGCTACCATAATTTATTACACTGTCCTCTAAGGTCTTGTAACCATATTAGGGCACTAATCAGGTTTCCAAGCATAAAGAAATCACAAAATCTCTAAGTCAGAGGAACTGTCTAGAAGTCATCATAGTTCAACTTCCCACTCCATCTAGGAATCTTTTTGATAACATCTCTGATGGGTCTCCCTCTGGTTTTTCCTGAAAATCCTCCTGTGACAAGGAGCCTATATAAAACTGCAATCAAAGAAGCCTGCCACAGTATCATCATCGGTCATAAAGTTCATCCTTTCTCTTTCCTAACATCCAAATCTCTTTCACCAACTCCCAACTCACACATATCCATCCAGTCTTTCCCACCTGCCCATTCTTGCTTACTCAGGAATCTCTGTGCTAGCTGCATATGAACTATGGGCTGGAGGAATGAACATGGAGTCAGAGAACTTAGATCATAATCCTGGTTGTTCTACTTCCCATCTGGAGAACCTTGGGCAAGTCTTCCTGCTTCTACATGAATTTTGTCATCTGTACTAAGGGTGTTGGACTAGACGTTCTTTAAGGTTCCTTCTCATCTAAGATCTCTGTTCCTATGATCCTGGGACTTCTGTTTTCTCATTTTGTTATCATTTTTTCTTCCCTTTTTGCCCTGCTTCCCCCTGCCCCATTTACAATGTATATGAGCATAGGCATGCACATGTGTGCCTATGGGTGTATGTGTGAGTGTGCATGTTGAGAAACAAGAGTACTAGACCTGGAGTCAGGAGATCTGATACTTGCCCCCACCTACCTCAAAGGACTGTTGTTAGGATCAAGTGAAAGGGAAAATCCATTATATAAATGAGTTGTTATTTTATGTTTTCATACTCTCTCCTCCCTTTTTTTGTTTCTTGCACATCCGTTTTCCTTTCCTTATGTTCTGTTATTCTTTGTGCCTTCAGGAATTTTTCTCTGATTTCTTTTCATTTCTATTTTTATTTCTGCCTCTCCAGTTTCTTCTTTCTTTCTATTTTTCAATCTTTCTTTTTTTCTTCCCTTTTCTCCTTTACCATGCTCTATTTCCTTTCATTTTAATAATGAACTCAACTCCAGCTGTATTTAGGACAATTTGTGTAGTGATCATAATAAGATCATTTCTATAGTTCTTGGAGATAATTTTTCACACAAAAATTCTATGAAGTTCCAGTATTATTATACCTGTTTTATGGATGAGGAAACCAAGGTGCAGAAAGGATTAAATGACTTGCCCATAGTGACAAAGTCAGCTGAGACTCAAGCTCAGCTGTTTTGACTCTAAAATCATTGCTATTTTCCACCATATAATGGCAGGCTCTTATAATCTTATTCACTCTAGGGCAGAATACAATGTAAGGAAGCTTAAGGATCTTGGATCCTACCCAATGGGAAATTAGTCACTGAAGTAACAAGAAGATCTCATTAGAAGTTAGTCTTTGGCCATAAAATAGTCTCAGGTCATAAACCTCAAGGATATCATTGGAATGAGGTTTCAGCACATTTACAAATGTGTGTGTTAGGTATATCTGTGCATGTGTAAATGGACACATGAAGAGAAGCAGTGTAGTTTAGTGGCTAGAGAGCTGGGCCTTCTTAGGAGGAGCCAAGTTCAAGGCCTGCCTCTGACACATTCTGGCCATTTGACACTGAGCAAGTAATTTAACCTCAAGCAATTATCAGATAGTATAAATGACAGCACAGGTGCAATTAATTCAATTTAATTTTAATTATTTAATTTATTAAATTATTTTAATTATATTTAAATAATTGGAGAAATATAAATTGTTCATAGGTAGGCAGGACCAATATAATAAAAATGACAATTTCACCTAAACTAATTTATATATTCAATGCCATCCCAATTAAATTAGCAAAAAAATTATTTTACTGAATTAAAAAAATAATAACAGAATTTATCTGAAAGAAGAAAAAGTCATGAATATCAAAGGAACTAATGAAAAAAATGTAAAGGAAGGAAGTTTAGCAGTACCAGATCTTGAACTATATTATAAGGCAGTAATTATCAAAACTATCTGATACTGGCTAAGTAATAGAAAGGTAGATCAGTTTGGACATACAATTTTCAGCAACAAACAAATATAGTAATCTTGTATTTGACAAGTATAAAGACTTAAGTTTTGAGGATTAGAATTCATTATTTGGTAAAAAAAAATATTGGGAAAACTGAAAACAAATCTGCATTAGAAGAATGATTTTTCTCCCCAGGAGTTCCCTATACCTACAGTATGAATCTATGGGTCCAGTATTTTATACACACACACACACACACACACACACACACACACACACACACACACACACACAAACCCAGAAGTAAATGTGCAGATAGAGTATATATTAAACATTTACTATGTCCTAGGAACTGTGTAAGTGTTCTATCCCTTCCTAAGAGGCAGTGTCACATGGCAGAAAAAGCCACAAATTCAGTCAGGTGTCCTGGACCCAAATCCTGGCTCTCTTAGTTACTATATGAATGGCCTTTGGAAAGACATGGCACCTCTGTGGGCCACATTCTCCTTATTTGAAAAATTGGGGCTTGGCCTCTATCATCTCTAGGGACTCTTTTAGTTCCAAATTGCCTGATCTTTCTTTCTGTTCCTCAGGGACAAAAAAGTTAGGAAGCTTTAACCCTGGTGAAATCTGGCATTGCTGAGGTGTCAGAGGGGGATGGGGTATTTTCTGAGGACATAAACTGAGCAGAGTGATACGCTAAGTCATGGTCTCATGGCAAATATGATGTTCATTAAGAAATTGACCAAGTCCATCAAGCTCATTCTATTTTGGAGCTAGGAATTATACTAAGTCAGGCTTATAGACATAAAAGGCTTTTAAAATTCCCTAATCTTTGAAAACTATCCAAGTGATAAATTTACCTGTCATCTGTGTTGCAGCATCTATCTTTGCTGAAAACTTTGGACCAAGCTTCACAAAAGGAGAAGGCTTCTTCTCTGTCTTTGCCATATTTTTCCCAGCAGCTACTGGCATTCTTGCTGGAGCTAACATCTCTGGAGATTTGGAGGTAGGTTACCTTCTCTGCTTTGTAGTCCTAGGGTTGTGGGAGTAAGATACCAGATATTTAGTAATAAGAACACTATATACCATTTCAAGATAGAAATGATTGTGCAAAGTCACCTGGTTATTTTTAAATGATCTGGGATTTAATTGTTAATTTTCTATGCTACTTCTAATTCCCAGAATGACAAACCCTTTAGTCCTCTAGTGGGAAAGCTAAGGCATACTGAAGTTTTGATGAACCTACATTAATTAATTTTTAAAGTATAAAAAAACTTGTTAAATTTTGTTTCAATATTATTTTAAAAACTTATGCACTAATCATGAGCAAAGAAAAGAAAAAGTCTTTTATTTGTAGATATCATTTTAGTATACTTAGAAAACCCAGAGAATCAGCAAAGAATCTAACCAAAAAACTAATAATTTCAACAAGGATACAAAATGAATCCATTAAAATTTTTATCATTTCTATATAGTGCTAACAAAAACCAGGAATAAAAACAATAAAAGAAATTCCATTCAAAATAACCACAAAATATGCAAAATATCTGAAAGCTATCCTACCAACACACATAATATAAATAAGATTGTAAAAGTTCCTTTTTCTTTTTGGTGAGGTGATCAGGGTTAAGTGACTTACCCTGGGTCACACCGCTAGTAAGTGTCAAGTGTCTGAGGCTGGATTTGAACTCAGGTCCTCCTGACTCCAAGGCCAGACCTCTAACCACTGTACTGCCTAGCTCCCTCAAAAGTTCCTTTTTCTATAGAGATAATGGTAAACTTAAATAATTGGAGAAAGATTTGCTGTTCATGGCAAGGCAAATGTCAAGTAAAAATGACAATACTACACATAAATTAATGTGAAAAAGTACAAGTGAGGGGGCATAGCATGGTCAGCTTTCAAATTATATTTGATACTGATCAAAACACACTGGAACAGACTAGATAAGGAAGAAACAAAAATAATCAAAAATAGTATCCCAATGATTGGTAATACAAGAACATAAACTATTGGGAGAATAACTCCTTTTTTTTTGACAAGAACTGCTGGAACAATTGAAAAATACTTTGGCAAAAATTCAGTTTAGATCAACAGTTTACACCATATACCAAAATATGCTCAAACTGAATACGCAGCCTGAGTATAAAAGGTAATACCATAAAAATGTTAGAAAGGAATGAGAATATTTACCTTACCTACCTATGGTTAAGGGGAGAATTCTTTTTGTTTTTGTTTTTAATATTTATTTCTTTATTTTTAGTTTTCAACATTCACTTTTATAAGATTTTGAGTTTTCAATTTTCTTCCCCTTCTTCCCCTTACCCCTCCCCATGATGGCCTGCAATCTGATATAGGCCACACATGTACAATCATATTAAACATATTTTGACATTAGTCATGTTGTAAAGAAGAATTAGAAGCAAAGGGGAAAACCATGAGAAAGAAAAAAAATGGAAAACTAGTATGTTTCAATCTGCGTTCAGACTCCATAGTTCTTTCTCTGGATGTAGATAACATTTTCTATCATGAAACTTTTGGAGATGTCTTAGATCCTTGCATTGCTGAGAAGAGCTAATTCTATCAAAGTGTCTGTTACTGTGCACAACATTCTCCTGGTTCTGCTCACTTCACTCAACATCAGTCCATACAAGTCTTTCCAGGTTTTTCTGAAGTCTGCTTGCTCATCATTTCTTATAGCACAATAATATCCCATTACATTCATATACCACAACTTGTTCAGCCATTCACCAATTGATGGGTACCCCCTCAATTTTCAGTTCTTTGCCACCACAGAAAAAGCTGCTATAAATATTTTTGTACATGTGGGTCCTTTTCCCATTTGTATGATCTCTTTGGGATACAACCCTAGAAGCGCTATTGCTGGATCAAAGGGTATGCTCAATTTTATAGCCCTTTGGGTATACTTCCAAATTGCTCTCCAAAATGGTTAGATCAATTCACAACTTCACCAACAATGCATGAATGTTCCAATTTTCCCACATCTTCTCCAACATTTATTATTTTCTTGTTTTGTCACGTTAGCTAATCTGATGGTTATGATGTGGTACCTCAGAATTATTTTGACTTGCATTTCCCTAATCAATAGTGATTTAGAGCGTTTTTTTTTTGTATAACTATAGGTAGCTTTAATTTCTTCATCTGAAAACGGCCTGTTCCTATCCTTTGACCATTTATCAACTGGAGAATGACTTGTGTTCTTATAAATTTGACTTAGTTCTCTATATATTTTAGAAATAAGGTCCTTGTCGGAGACACTGGTTGTAAAAAATTCTTTCCCAGTTTTCTGCTTCCCTCATAATCTTGGTTGTATTGGCTTTGTTTGTGCAAAAAATTCAATTTAATGTAATCAAAATTATCCATTTTGCATTTCATTATGTTCTTTATCTCTTTTTGGTCATAAATTCTTCTGTTCTCCATAAATTTGACAGGCAAGCTATTCCTTGCTCTCCCAGTTTGTTTCTAGTATCAGCCTTTATATTTAAATCTGTACTTGCTTTGACTTTATTTTGGTATATGGTGTAAGATGTCAGATTATGCCTAGTTTCTGCCATACTCTTTTCCAGTTTTCCCAGCAGTTTTTGTCAAATAGCGAGTTGTTATAACAGAAGCTGGGGTCTTTGGGTTTATCAAACAGTAGATTACTAGAATTCTTAACTATGTAAAGGATGGGAGAGATCATAATAATAAATATATAATTTTTACTATATAAATTTGAAAATAAGTAAATTTGAAAAATTAACTACATAAATTTGCACAAATATTATCAGTGGAGGTAGAACTAGAAAGGGAAATAGAATTTTAAAAATTGATTCAAGTACCACTGATAAAGGCCTGATATCCAAAATATATAGGGATTTTAAGGAAATATGTAACACCAATAGATATTTCCCAGTATTTAAGTGGCCAAAGGGAATAAGAATTGCAAATTTTAAATGGCTACATGAAACCATACCCCAAACCACTAGCAGAAAGAGAAATTCAAATTAAGAGAAATTCAAGGTTTCACTTCACACCATGCAAATCGGCAAATATGGCAAAAGATGATGGAAACAATAAATGTGGGAGAAATGTGGGAAGATGGGCATAGTGGTACACCATTGATGAGGACGTGAAAGGGTCCAATGAATCTGCATGTCAGTTTATAATTACGCAATGAAAATGGTTAAGTTGTCTATACTCTTTGACCCAGTGATCCTACCCCAAAGAAATAAAAAACTGAAATAAAACCCCAATAGATACCAGAATATTCATAGCAGCACTCTTTGGGTTGGCAAGGAACTCTAAACAAAGTAGAGGCCCATCAGTTGTGGAATGACTGAAAAAAAAAGATGATACATGAATATAATGGAATATTAATATGCAGTAAAAAATAACAAATACAAGAAATGAGAAAAACATGGGAAGAGTTAAATGAAGTGATTCAGAGTGAAATAAGCAGAACAAAGAGAATATACACAATGTAAATGAAAATATCATTGAAATTTGATACTTAAAGAACCAATTATAATTGAAAGGCATATAATGAAATATTCCTCCCCATTCATGGCATTACATACAGGTGATGGACTAGTAGTGCAAAATATTATATATATTGTCTGGTATGGTTATTTGTATCAGGTGGTTTTGCTTAAGTGTTTTGTCATAAAGGAGGATTCAGTTGGGAGTGGGAAGTTGGAGAGGGTTGAAATGATAGTACTGTAGAGGCAGAAAGAATCAATAAAACATTTTTTTAAATATCCCAGCATAAGCTTATATTTATCTTCCCCTCCAACATTCTTTCTTGCAGTGATTCCTTAGAGCAGTCCTAGATTTGAATTTTGAGGGAATGGATTTGTTTTTGCCAGTGAAGTTCTTTAACACTGTCACACTATGCCCTCAGGATGTAGCATGGGGACCTTCACCTTCTTTTGTGTCATGGATCCCTTTGATCTGAAACCTATGGGTTCCTCAGAATAACATTTTTAAATGCATAAAATAAAATATGGTGTTACAAAAGAAATCAGTTCCATTAAAATACAGTTGTCAAAACTTTTTAAAAACCAAGATGTTTGTTTGTTTAAAAACCTCTGCTCTTGAAGCTGCCAACAATGTGCCATGGGCCAGTGATCCTTTGTCTGAATGTATCTCCTAAGCCCAGTATACTGCCTGGCACATGGCAACCAGTGTCTAAATAATGCCTGTTGATTGAATGCAGTAGCAGAACCATCCCGTAAGACAAATCTGAATTCAGTAAAGAGAAAATATGAATAATAGTAATGGTAACAATAATTATATTTACATAGCTCTTTACAATTTTCTAAGGCCTGTCATTTATACTAATTGAATTGGTCCCCTAAAAGAATACTGTGAAGTAGCCCTTATTATCTTCAGGACTAAGAGGCATGCCATGAAGACATAGGCAAAATAGTATAATAAGCTGAACTGTGACTTTATGGCAAGTGTGACCTTCACTAGGAAATCAGGCAAATTCAAATTAGTAAAGATGAGCAAAGTAGGGGTCTGAGAATTTAAGTGGTCTGCCGAAGGTCATACAGCTAAGAAATTGAGCTAGAATCTAAACTCAGGTCGTCTGATACCAAGTCCAGTGCGCTGTCCAGGGTCAAAGTACTGTTAATGACTGTGGTTTCACACAATAAAAGTAATAGGAAATAATAGGGGTGTCAACTGTGAAAAGGACTGATAAGTGGGCTCCAGTTTATAGCCATTACATCCATAAAACTCCCTTGAAGCAGGTAGCTGGTGGCAGAGTGGGAATATTCTGTGCCACACCATATATTCCCTTTACTCCAATTCAATTCAAGGAATATTTATCAGATGCTTATTATAGGCAAGGCTGGGCACTCAGATCAAAGCCCCTCCCCCCTTACAAAACAGTTCTTGTCACGAAGGAGCTTTCACTCTTCTACAGAATACAAGGAAAAGAGTGAATAATTTGAAGAGAAAGAGGACACTAATGAGAGGGATGAGGAAAGGCATCCTGGCACCTAAGATGAGCTGTGAAGGAAGCTGAGGACTCTAAAAGGCATTTCAGTCGCATCAGAAAGCCTGTACAAATGCACTGAGGCAGGAGATGGAGATTGAGTTCAGGGTACAGTAAGTAGGACCATTTGGCTAAAATATTGTTGTGTAGCCATTTTTCAGTTGTGTCTAGCTCTTCATGACCCCATTTGGGGTTTTCTTGGCAAAGATACTAGAGTGGTTTGCCATTTCCTCCTCCAGCTCATTTTACAGATGAAGAAACTGAGGTGAACAGAGTTAAGTGACTTGTCAAGGGTCATACAGCTAGTAAGTGCCTGAGGCTGGATTTAAACTCAGGAAGATAAGTATTCCTGACTTCAGGCCTGTCACTCTATCCACTGTGTCATCTAGCTGCTCTTGGCTAAGAGTAGATTAAATTAGTCAGGAGAAGTAATTGAAGTCAGATTGTAAAGGGCTTTAAATGGCAGGATGAAGAATTTGATTTTGTCCTAGTGGTAATAGCAAACCACTGGAAATTTTTGAGCAAGAGAATGACATAGTCAGAAAATTATTTTGGCCCCCTAGGAGTATACATTCTATTAGGAGAGACAACATGTACCTATATAAGACATTCAAAACATGCAAAAAATAAATAAAATGTAATTTTTAAGGGGCATGCATTGGCAGCTGGCTGGGAGAGAGAGAAAGAAATCAGCAAAGGCTTTATGAAGGAATATACATAGATTTTAGTGCATGGAAACTCTGAAGAACAAAGCAGGACTCTTACTGCACAATTATTGTAAGCCATCTTTAAAATTAAAGAAACTTCATAGGGATCCAAGGTGGCATGTAGCTACTAAGGACTAGCTGAATACCAGTCACAAATGAGAGTTTGGTCTCATGTTCCAGGCAAAAATAGGGTCAGCCAAAGATTACAACGACCTGGCTCTGTAAAAAGTACATGCTGTTATATTCAGGCCCATCAAAATTTTCGAGGGGTGTGCCCAGTGTCTTGGAGTAATGCCGATATGATTTTTATACTAGCTTAGTTTTGCTCCTTTATAGACCTCTTTGCCACATGTATTATGTAAGACACAGCTTCTTGTCCCAGCATGTTGAGACTTCTGCCTTTTCCCACACAAATTGAACCAGCCTAACCATTTTTTTTCAAAACCTCACCATCATTTTGTGTCTTAGGATCATGGGGTTTAATAAAAGCCTTTGACATGTGAAAAAATACTTTGGCACCTGAGCAGAAAATGAAAATATCCCCCATCCTCAGAGCTTGCTACTTTTGTCAGTTGGTTGGTTTTTCTGGAATCAAGATACAGGCTGTTTTGCAGATTTGCAAAGACAGAATAAACTCCAGATGATCTCATTTCCTCACTTTATATCACTCTCCTTTCATCCTACCTTTTTTCCCCTTCAAGGACCCACAAGACGCCATCCCCAGAGGAACAATGCTGGCCATTTTTGTCACCACTATTGCCTACCTAGCGGTTGCTATTTGTGTAGGTAAGTAACAGCAATAATAGCTAAAATTCATGTGGTGCTTTGAGGTTTACCAAGGGTTTTATACACATTATCTTGATTGCTCTTCACAACAGCCTAGTAAAGTGAGTGTTATTATCTTCTCCATTTTTACAATAGAGGAAAATAAGGCTTCTAGAGATTAAGTGAACTTAAGTTCCTCCCTGGTGACACAGTAATAGAGGTCAGATTCAAGACTTCCTGCCTCCAAGTCCAATGCTGCTTCCATTATACCAGTTTATGCACCAACCCTCAAATTATTCTCAAGGCTTATTTGAGTCTCCTATGCTTCCTGTCATGCTTGGGCTGCAGAGGATAAAGCTCTCAAAATCTGCAAAATTATTGAAAGCTACTGAGTTTTTATATTGCAAAAAATCTTCCTCCCATTATTATAATCCTGGTGTCTTAGTGTTTTGATTATAATTGTCATAGTTGAAAAGAAACAGACAGACAGATAGCTAGACAGATAGTAAATAAACAGGCAGGCAGAAAGGTGGATAGTTATAGGTACTTATTAGTACTATTTCATATTATTATATATGTCTGTATGTAGACATATGTGTCCACATTTTCATACATATATATATATATATATATATGTATGGGGAACGGTGTGTGTACATACATATATGTGTGTATCTATTTATCTATCTTATTGTCTATACTAGAGAGCTTAGTTTTGCTTCTTCAGACGTTGACTCCAAGACCACTAGGAGAGGCATTAAGGGATTTAGGTTTGCTTTCACTGCCATCAAACACTCCTGAATAGAGCCTATGTGAGAATATCTGGGAAAAGGCAGAGTAACTGGGGGTTGAGGGAATAGTGGGATTGTAGGAGGGCATGGAATTGGACCTAATGGCTCATCCTAGCACTGCTTTCTTTAAAGAGGAAATCTCACTATGGCCACTTGGCTGAGAATCAGAAATTGACCCAGCCCCCATCAGTGTAGGAGACCTGCTCTCATGGCTGGCAGGATTTCGTGACTCTTCCCGCTGTGGCAGCACCTGTTGTTTTTATCCTATCACTCACTGGTAGTACTTAATGTGCAGGAGGCAGAAATCATATTCTTTGCTTAGGAAAAAATTAATGAGGGGGGATGGTTGTTGAGGACCCAAAAAAAAAATTCACCAAAAGCTAAAGATGCTATAGAACCCTGACTGAGCAGCTCTTAGAAAACTCCTGAATTTTATTCCTTCCCTGTTTGCTTCAAAAGAGTAGTAGGAGAGTTTATTCCCCTTAGTTTGACCTCAACAAAAAAAAAGAGAGAGAGATGAAACAGGTTGACTTCTATACAGTCACAAACAGAAATTTTTGTACCACAAACCACATCCAGAATAAGCTGAATGAATTTTGAATTCTGCCCTCATGTAGGTAGGTGGCTAGGTGGTGATGGAATGGGGTAGAAAGAGACCCTCAGATACTAGATAAAAGTCATTGCTGGGGAAGCTGCCTTGTGATAGGTAGGAAAGAGGGAGATAATGGAAGAAATAGAGATAAGACCTCCCCCAGCTACCCATTTGGTAGCTTTCTATTTTAACCATACTTACTAGCCAGGTACAAAGCCCTGCTGCTTCTGGGCTACTAAGTAAATGCTACTAGAGCCCTTTAAATTCAACACCCTGGGGCAAAGAGCCCATCATCCCACCCTGGTAATGTCTGCTAACCGCCTTTCCTAAATAACTGTTTTAGGGATGGGGAGGTTTGCTGAATATTCAGATGTCTTCAAGCAGCTAATGGTACAGTGGATGAGGCCTTTGGGCAAGTCACAACCTCTGTTTCAGTTTCCTCCACTGTAAAATGGGGGTAATAATAGCACCTTTTTCACATCATAGTAGGTACTAAATAAATGCTTATTCCTGTTCCCTTCCACTTCCAGAAAAGGCATTGTTATGGTATTGGGGAGCTTCTATGACTTTTTCTTCTTTTTAAAAATAACAAAAAACAAAAAGATATTTGAATGTTATGTTTTTCAGAAATGAGTTTCCTTTTTAACTTAATTAGAAAAGTCAAGAATGAGGTCCTTTATCAAAGATACGGACCACGTCATAGATGTCCCAGGATCTCTGAACTGGAAGGGACTTCATAGGCTATTTAGCCCAATCCACACTTGAACTAGAATCCTCTTACAACAAGACCTACACATCATCATCTGGCCTTTAATTGAAGGCATCTGGGGGAGGTGTGTGGGGCTCCTGAGGTAGTCTATTCCACTTTGGTAGAACTCCAAATATTACTCACATCAAGACTAAATCTATTTCTCTCAAATTTCCATCTCTTGCTCCTATTTCTACTCTTTGGAGTCAAAACCAGTATGTCCAATCACTCTTCCACATGGCAGCTTTTAAATATTTTTTAAAAAGGCATCATGTCTCCCTACTAACTCTTCACTATGCCAAACATCTCCAATTCTTTGGATGAATCATTCAGCGGCCTGGCTTTAAAATCCTCTACCATCTGGATGTTTTCTAGCTTATCCCATGTCATTAGGAATGGCTCCAGCACCAGCCAGACTAACCCTAAATGCCACATTTTCCCATGAGCCTCTGGGGTAATGTGTATCCCTTGCATTTTTCTCATGGAGGGAGGAGGAACAGTGTAGAGCAATGGTAGATTATTCCTGGAAAATGCATAAGGATCTAGAGCCATAAAAATATTTCTGGACTGCTTTGCTAATGTTTCATGATTTTAGAGCATGAAAGAATCCTAGAAAAGTATCCCAGTCTTCCCATTTTGCAGGAAACTGAGGCTCAGAAAGGTTAAATGAATACCTAAGGTGGCATGGGCTGCAAGCGGCAGAGCAAGGGTTTGAACTCAGGACCTCTGACTCTGAACCCAATGCTCCTGTCTAGTGTACCCACACTGCATGGGGTGGTTTTCTAACAACTAGTAGGGTTCCTAACAATTAGAAGGGTGCAGCAATGGAATGAATACCACTTTAGCTATGTTGGTGCTTAAGAACAGTGACACTATAGTGTTTTTATCATTCTTAATCAAACAATTTCAAACCAGTTAGAATAAAATCCTCCATATGGTTGCCTTCTCTTCTCTAAATCTCTCCCAACCCTGAGGACTTGGCATTCTTCATCTAAGAATGAGAAGTCCCCACTGGGTCAAAGAACTGAGTATCTATCTGCTGGCCATTTCCCAGAAATGAGAAATCAAAGATGCCCAGTGAATAAGGCAGGAAATTCGATGTTTATTTTCAAGAGCTCCTTTCTTTAAAAGGGTTCAAAGAATTTTATAGCTATTATTTATTATGGGGGAGGAGAGGAAAAAAAAGAAGCATAAGACATAGTCTCAGCCCTCCAGGAGCATAAAATTTAGTTCAAGAAACAAGAAACTGATACATTAAAATTAAACTAATGATGCAATACAGCAAAGGATATAAATATGGACCAAATGAGTAGCACAGACTGAATGAATGAATGAACAAATTAATGAAAAGAATATATGAATTGCTTCCTCTGTAATGAGCGCTGTGCAAAGTATCAGGAATACAAATACAAAAGTGAGCTGGTCCCTGCTCTCAAACAGTTTATAATTTAAGGGGAAAGACAACACATATAGTGGAATGGAGGCTGTGAAGGGATTTGGGGTCTGGAAAGTCCCATAGATGGTGAGACAATATGATAGTCAATTGGCACACTCTTTCCAGAGTCAAAAGTAATGTGTTCTAAAGGAAGGGGAAGTCAGTGTTGGGTGGGAATTTTCAGGAAGTTTTTGTAGAGGACAAAAGATCTGAACAGGCCAGGTCATATCCCAGAAATAGAAAAGAATACCTCTTCAATGGACCTCAACTGGATAGGATTTTTTAAAAATTAAGTATTCCCTTTCCTTTCCACAGGAGCCTGTGTTGTCCGAGATGCCACTGGAAATGTGAATGACACAATCATCTCTGGGATGAACTGTAATGGCTCAGCAGCCTGTGGTCTGGGCTACGATTTTTCCAGATGTTTAAACCAAAACTGTCCATATGGTCTAATGAACAACTTCCAGGTTTGAATTTTTATTTTAAAATTTTTGTTGTCCTTGACTGATTGGACTTCAGTTGCCTTAGTTCAATGTAGCTGTTAAGATTTGTATTCAGAAACAGTTAGTCTATGATTCAAGCTTGCCTAAAAGAACTGTTCTTATTAACTCTGAGTACCAGCCAGTACCAGAGTTATGAAGAGTCTCTAGGTAGGCAAGTCATTTTAGATAATAGGAATTCAAACTAGGTGAAATCTTAGAGATCATCTAATCCAAGGCTTTTACTTTTTGGATGAGGAATATCACAAAATAAGTAGAAGTGTCAGGATTTTTACTCAATTCTTCTGACTCCAAACTTAATATTTGGAACAGCCCTCCATCTTCAATTCCAATTCACTGGTGGTGGGAAACTCCCCAGAGAATCTGGGCTGTACTGGAGAAGACTGGGACCCCAACAGGGCTTTGGGACCAATATGACTTACCCAAAGCTTCTCTGATCTGTATTCAAAGCAGATCTCCCAGGGAAGGTCAAGAACTCAGAAGCAGTTAAGTGTGTGATCTCAGAACCACCAATATCCACATACTCATTCCTGGGGTTACCTTGGGAATTCTAAGGTCAGATGGGGAGAAGAAGACCTAGAATCTGGGGAAATGCAGACTACGTAGGCCCCACAGAACAGTGACACTGAGTAGCATTTACTAAGGGAGGTGGAACTTGGTAAATTCCTTCTATTATTCTTTGTAGTAAACTACAAGGTAGGAGGGAGGGGGAGGGGATGAAGGCAGTTTATGTGTATCCTTTCTTTTTAATTTTTTTTCTTTTTATTTTGGACAAATACTAAAACTTAAATACACAATAGAGAAAAGCAAAGAGGGATACTATAAACTCAAATATTGAAAGTTAAATACAAAATAAGAAAAGGAAAAAAAGCATGTCGTGCATAGCAGAACATAAGAGAGGATTCAAAATACATAGTAATAAATTTCCATTTCAAGAAATCCTATATAATTAATACTACGAATTATGTTGAGAGCAGTCCATCTTTTCTTTGCTTCCTTGTAGGTTTTCTTTTGTTATCTGCAGTGCACTTTTTACTTTGTTCTTTTTTCCCTTTCCTTTCCGCCTCCCCCACAAGGCTACAATTATGTGTTTCCTTTCTTATAGATTTGATACAGCTAGAACATATATCACATAGTATGTTGGCTATTTCCCCATGTTGTTGTCCTAAGCAAAAATGACAAGATAGTTCACAATGTAGAGAGACTTAGAGCACACCAAAGAAAGAACTGGGCTCAATCATAACATTTTTATCTAAACACTTCAACGCAAATTCAGAGGCATTGTTTACTTGCCTTCACATTTTAAAAAGTGCTTCACCCAATGTCACCAAATATTTAAGATTTGAAATTATTTGCCAAACGCCCACTTATAAATCCACTATATACAATACAGAACATAAAACAAGTAATTATAAAGTCAGTCTCTTTAGGAATTTATAGTCTAAGATATCCCATAATGACAGTGAAATTAAGGATGCACAAAGATTATTAAAATATATAAATTAAATTTTTTGCATCCAAACAATAGAATTTAAGCCCATTTAGTGTGGTAGTAAGAGAATCAGAAATAAAGGGAATTGGATAATGGGATAGATGATCCCATCGCCACTACCTCTTTTTTTTTTAAAGTGAAAGGGAGGAGAACAGCCAAGTTATATGATTTATTTCATTGATATGGGAAACTCTTAGTGTGGAAACTCCCTCCACCAATGCCATAAGTCTTCAACTTAGAAATAATCATAGATTTCAACTCCAAGGGACCTCAGAGGTCATCCAATTCAGTTCACTAATTGCAAGATAAGAATAATGATGCTCAGAGAAATTACGTGACATTATTACACAGTTACTAAGAGTCAGGGGAAGAATTTGAACAGATTCTACTAAATTCTAATTTCAACCCTCTGTCCAATGGGCCAGCTAACTTTTAATCTTAGAGAGTGCCTGGAGGCATGGATAGTGACTTTCCCAATGGTCACAAAACTAGTATGTCTCCAACCCAGGTCTTTCTTAATCCAAATTTGCTTCTTTACTATCTGCTAAGCCACATTTCCTCTCTTCTAATTAAAGAAGGCTTCAGGGATTGAGGGGGGAAGGCATAATGTTTCAAGGAGTGGAAGACATTCTGAAGATCGGCTATAGCTTTGGAAAAGCCTGTGAGATGACAGACTAGAATAAGAAGGAATGTCTGAGAGTCTTCACAGGCATAGGCAAAAGGGGTTAGAAACAAAAATAATTATCCCAAGAGGCTGGCCAAAGGAGAATTTCTTATCAGTCAACTCTTAATGAATCTATTATCTATTAGAATTGTCCAACAAGAAAAAACAAATTAGCTTGAACAAAGGTATTAGCTGCAAAACTGGCCTTAACTGGGCAGGATCTCATCTTGCATCAGACCCAAAACCACTGTTCAGTAAATACAGAGGAAATAATGAAATATTGAATAACTGAATGATGAAATAGAAAATATTCTTCCATGGGCATGAAGAAGAGAGACTGAAATACAAACATTTTAACATTATAATTCTATTCCCAAAGCCTTATTCAAATGCCATATTTTGTTAGAATGAACTTCCTATCATCTAAGAAAACTCAAATATACCAAAGAGAGGAAAGAACTAGGAAAAAAAAATCCTGGAAGCTTTTGAAATGAGGAAAAGAAAAAAAAACTATTCAGAAGCCATTTGCCAAGAAAATGGAGTTCTAGGAAGTGCAAAGAGCAACATTTATCTTAGGATCTGATTTTTTTTAATTGATGACATAAATCCTGTTTTTTTACATCTATTTGGTGAGCTTCCCTAGTCACCCTTCCCTTACTGTTGATGAGAATTGAACACACACACAAATGTGTGTGTGTGTGTGTGTGTGTGTGTGTGTGTGTGTGTGTGTATTCTAAAAGTCTTAGTGTAGTTTTAAACTAAAATTTTTGCATTTTCTCACAGGGTTGTAAAGGAATACCTACAAGCACAATTTAAATTAGTTGTTATAATCATCACTATATGTTTCATGTATCTGTAGAATGAAGCACCTGAATTTCTTTGCTATTTTGTACTTTTCCCACTGTTTTGGGGGGAAAGTCCAGACATCATCTTGGCCAAATTTAAGGGAAGAAGTTTTGTCCCTCTAGGTCAATAAGAAAAACTACTGGGAGATGTGGGGAGGGAAGGACTGAACATAAAAATCTTGTACCAAATCTTGTACTATAATTTAGCCAAACATTGACTCTTCTAGCTTTCAGAGGGATACCTTGCCCCATATCCATTTCCGATCATGGCCTAGCGTCTCCCTCTACCTTCTCTCTCCTATCTTTGAGTCATTTCTCTGTCTTTGCCAGTATCCTGAATGTATTCACTAGTCAGTCATTGGGAAAAGTTTGGATTCACTTCTGGTTCTAATTAGGTCTATACTAGGGTCCTGTCCACAATGACTTCATCAAAAAGCCCTAAAAAGCCCTCCTTTCTTTTCCTGTTTCCAACCATGTGTCTCCTTTCCAATCTCATACCAAACTGTTTTCTCAGTGGAAGGTATCTTCAGTCATCCAAGATAATAGATGTACCTTTCTGATATGGTGTTGTATGGATTTTTTTTATTCTTTTGGATTAATCTTACATTATTTATTCCAACTGTTGTTGTTTTTAGCCTGGTCTCCATATCTCAACTAGGCTAGAAATTCGGTGGCCACCCATGGGCCCAATTCTAATATTGATTGACATGGGGTTTTAACCTGCTCCATTTTTCTTACCCGAGTCAGTTCAGAGGGACTCAACCATGATGCTAGACTTAATACAGATACCCCAATCAGCTCTTCCCCTACTACAGCTCAGAACTCCTGAACTCAAGAAATCTACCAACCTCAGCCTCCTCCAGTAGCAGGGATTACAGATGTCCATCACTATGCCTGGTCTATTTATTCCTCTTTGGGCTGGAGACCCCTTTCCTTCTCTTAGGCTGTTATCATTCCTCACTTGGTTCCTGAGATATTTAGGTTTCTCTAGAATCTGCTGGTCTAGATATAGACATTTTTCTTTTCTTAAATGCACCCAAGACAATAGTTTGGTTCTTTTCCTAACCCTAGGTCAGGAAAGGGTCAAATGTTCATTGAAGAATAATAGATAGGGCAGATCTGTAACCTTGAATGACTGGAAGTAGCCTCAACTGGAAAAACCAATTTGATTGGAGATTGGACAAGGGACACAAGGTTGAAAACAGGGAAATAAAGGGAGATTTAAGGGCTTTTTTTGTTAGAGTCATGTGGATGGGGCTCTAGTATAAAACTATGAGCCAGAAATGAAGAAGCCAGGCTTCAACTAATGGTTAGTGAATATAACATACTCAGGCTGTTGGCACAGACAAACAAATAAGTCAAAGACAAGAAAAGGACTTCTCAGGTAGGAAAGATGATAGACGAAGACAGTAGGCCAAGATCAAAAACAGATATGGAGAAAGGCATCTTATGGAAGTTGTGCTAGTCAATGTCTGACTAGATTATGGCTATTTTAATGCAAGACTTTCCAGTAACCCATTTCTTTGCTATTTTGTACTTTTCCCACTGTTTTGGGGGGAAAAGTCCAGCCATTATCTTGGCCAAACTTAAGGGAAGAAGTTTTGTCCCTCTAGGTCAGGAAATCCCAGAGAAGAATGAATAGCCCAGAAACTAGGTGAGGACTAGTGGTAGTGAAAGAGAGGAGGGACCCCCAACCCAAATAGATCAGGAGAGGGACCTTAGAAACGATTAAGTCTAATCCTCTCATTTTACATATGTGGAAATGAGGCTTAGAGAGATTAAGAAACATTTCTGAGGCCGCAAGTGTGGAAAATATTGGAACCCAGCTCCTTTGAGTCCCCAGTCCAGCATTCTTTGCACAATTCTAGGCTCCCTGCATCTGGTGATCTGAGCCACCCCATCCCTGGTCCCCAAGACAGTGAGAAAAGTATAACGAGAACAGATTGGGAGCAACATCCACCTACAGAAGCAGTCCCCTTCTTCCAGAAGTATTAACCTTATCCTTACCTGAGCGTTTGTTCTCTCTAAAGGTAATGAGCATGGTCTCAGGATTTGCACCCTTAATCACGGCTGGGATCTTCTCTGCAACTCTCTCCTCTGCTCTGGCCTCTCTTGTCAGTGCACCAAAAGTTTTCCAGGTACTGTATCCCCAGAAACATGATTTTCTTCTCTTTGATTTCTCTCTACGTGTATCCAGCTGAAACGCTTATTCTCACTAGCAATCATTTTCAGAAACATTTTAATGTTTGCATCTGGCCCAAGTGCTCTATCTGCCACATATTCAAGATAGATGCAAATAATATAAAGGATGATAAACTACAGATGCTAACCAGTGCTACAGTATTGTACATCACTTAATCTTTCCAAAAATCTCCTTGTTTAAGAGTCACTTCTGGGTAATGACTATGTGCAGATATAAATGACTGATTTCTCTCCTTTTTCTCCATCAGGCTCTTTGCAAGGACAATATCTACAAAGGTCTTCATTTTTTTGCAAAAGGATATGGGAAAAACAATGAACCTCTAAGAGGATATATTCTCACCTTCATTATTGCCATGGCATTCATTCTGATTGGTTAGTGGGTTTCTTGGTAACACTAAAAGTCAAGGAACACTTTTGAGTATGCATTTGCCTTTATTTCCAGATTTGGAAAGGTAGTTTGAGGTAAAGTAGCATGGTTGAGTGGAAAGAACATTGGCTTTGTAGGCAGAGAACCTGTGTTCAAATCTTGCCTCTGAGGTTTACTACCTGTGTGACCTTGTGCAAATCACTCAACCTGGGCTTTGGTATTCTTATCTGTAAAATAAGAAGGTAGACTCGATAGTTTTAAATCTATGTTTGTTTTCTACCCTACTTTGGTATGTGAAGCTTGCTTAGGAAGGAAATGAGAAAGTATGGAATTTACATAGAACCAAGGAGACATCTGGTGACCTTTTGAGCCTGAGAGAGTACAATGACTTGGCCTTATGACTCTACTCATGTGACTCCTAATATTAAACTCTGAATCACAGAGTCTCAGAGTTGGAAGGATCTCAGAGAACATACCTGACTAAGAATCCTCTATACCATACGCAGAATGTGGTCATCCACATTTATGGCTTGAGAACTTCCAGAGAAGAGAAACCCCCTACAGCTTGAGACAGTCCATTCCACATTTGAATAGTTCATTAGGAAGATTTTCCTCTCAATTTTGATTGATTCTGTTGCCCATTATTTTTTTCTTATTTAAAAAAAGGCCCAGATTCCACTTACATGTGGCAAAAATGAAAACTCATTGAAAGTAGGGACTGTATTTGGTTTTTATCCATTGGGCTACATGTAAGGGTACAGATTGGGATACACCTTTATCTCAAATGTAGCACAATTATTTGCATTAATATGTGCTTAACAGATTTTTGGTGAATTTAATTGAATTGAATCTATGTAACTATGTCTTGGAAGTGGGCAAATGAGTGTCAAAATCTGCACCTGATTACCTTCCCTTACTAAGCAAAATCCCCATTTGGGTCAAACTCACCAGCTCCAGCCTGGATCTCCTTGCTCTACCGTAAGCTATGTTACCATTAGGGTCCCAGTGTGTGTGACAAAGCATTGGCAATGTGGGCTGTAAGAAGCCCTGGCACCTGCACATGTTTACAACATGCAGAACAAACCATTCCTACCTATGACATAATTTAATTAACAGACCTAGTCCCATCACTCTCCCACTGAAGAGGAATTTAACCATAATTACCAAATCTTTACAAGATCACCAAGGATTAGGCAAATATTGCTCTTTCAGATTTCTAGATCAAAGAACAACCTCAAAGAACAAAGTATAGCAATGCCTCACTTACCTGGCATTCTTGGGCTTATTTTCCATGTAAGTAATTTTTCCATATAATTGAAGCTGAATTCTTTAAGTGTCAGATTTAATTTTCATTACTTCATGGAAATCTGTCTAGAACGCAGGACATCCTCCACTACCTCCTTAAGCAGCACCCACTGAATGAACATCTTTTAACTTTTTTGATGACTAAAAGCCATCCTCATCACCATCGACTTCTAATATGTTACAATACGGTACTTTGTCTGTTGTTCCTTTGGTTTTTGGTGTATTCATCAGCAGACTGCCTTGTAAAGCACTGCCTTTTCTAATTTCCTCCTATTTTCCTATGGTCTTAGAAATGACAAGAGCAACATTATTGGAATTGTATGTAACCTGGGCTAATAAGCTCTAATGAAGGCCCTCGATCTTCCTGATTCCTACAAAAGCATTCCTACAAAATATACCAAAGTCCATGGGCTTTGTGACAGTTATTCCAGAGTCTTGGCAACATTTAAAATCCTATCATAACCTTCTGCTTCTTGCCTGTGGTCCAAATGGCAGCCATTGCCAGAAGTCTTACTTCTAGATAAATGAGGAGTCACTGAATGATATTGCCTATATCATATGTACCATGACAGGGTTGAGATTAAGACCTATATTTCCTCTCATTTCAAACCGACTGAATGTTTTGGCCCCAGATATACAAGTAACCCAGAGGAATATATGCCATACAGGGCTCTATAGTGATATAGAATAAGATACGATCTGCATCTAAGTTTTCTTAAAGCCAGGACCAATAGAATTGAGATATGTTCAGGTACATACTGTATATATTTAATAACAGTCTCCATAGGTAAGGGAGAATACTGACAATATACTTTCAAGTTTAAACTGCATTATTAACATTTTCTCCATTGCTTTCTTAAGTCTAGACAATCAACAAAACAATAAACCAAATCCTAATGATTTTTAGCATTTGCTGATTTCTGAGGTGTAAATGTTCACGTTGAAAATTTAATAACCTGTTCTGATGAGCTGGTTACAGCTGATTCCAGCACAGCCACGGGTATGCTCAGAGATCTCTCTGACTGGGAGAGCCTGGTTTCCTGGTATAGAAATCATTTATCAAAAAGGTCTGCATGAAGGTTTTTAAGATTTATGCTTTACCTAGTGCATTATCAAATTGCACTAAAGAAAAGATGGGCTTTTCTTAGTGTACCCACCTTTGAGATACACTGTGAAATAGGTCACTTGTCTGCAACTCCAGTCTTCTCTTTCTCTATTGTTTTCATTCCCTTCACAGTCCTCCTTCACCCAGCTTTTTGTGCTTCTAATGATCTCTCCCTTTGTCAAAAATTAAACTTTAAAAATTAAAGCTTTAAGAACTTAAAGCTTTAAAAATTAAACTTCAAAAATCTTGGACTAATTGGGATTGTTCTTATATTAGTCAGTTATACTTTAATGCAAATTGAAAGCAATGAGTTGCATTTCCCAAGAGTATTTTTGTTTTAAGATTTCCCCCTATCCCAACCTCAACTGTGAAACAAAAGGCATTGCCAATTGTTCAGTTCAGTTCAACAAGAATTATTTGCCAAGTGCCTACTATATGTCAGGCACTGTACAGGATGGGGATACGCAGATTAAAATGAAAACAGTTCTTGACCTGAAGGAGTTTACATTTAAAAAATTAATCCTAAAGAATTAAATTAAAATTCTAAAAAATTAGAAGCATCAATGAGCAAGTAGGGAAAATGTTTGGGGGAGGCAGTGAGACTTCCCGGAGCTTCTGAAATCATACTCTGATTAATGTCAGTCCTGTGTTTATACAAAGCCATACCCAAATCCATTATATATATCCACTACATCAGGGGTTCTTACCCTAAGGTCTGTGAACTTTTCTAAAAAAATTTTTGATAGCTATAATTCAATACAATTGGTTTCCTTTGTATTCTTATGTATTTTATTTAATGCATTTAAGAACATCATTCTGTGAAGGTATCCATAGACTCCAACAGACTGCCTCAGGTGATGAGCCCCTGAATGAGATAGCTAATATATCATTAAAGTTCCTCCTCCCCCTCCATGGTTGGGGCTTCATGATAAGCAGTTTGGTATAGTGGAACAAACACTAAGCTGAGAATTAAGAGAACTGGGTTCTAGCACTTTGTATACATGTGTCCCAGTGGACAAGACACCTCCCCTCTTGGGACCTTACCTTTGTAGGGCCAGCACTTAGCATAGTGCCTGGAACAGAGTAGAATTTAATAAATTCTTTTTGACTGATTGATGGGAATAATAATAATAGCTATCATTTATATAGGACTTTAAGGTTGCAAAGTGCTTTGCATATGTTATCAAGAGCTAGAATTTATATAGATATCCAAATAATAACAAATATGTATATAGCACTTTAAGGTTTGCAAAGCACTTTATGAATAACATTCCATTTTATTTGCATAACAACCCTGGGAGGGAGGTGCTATTAGGATCCCCATTTTACAGATGGGGAAACTGAGGCAAAAATGTTTAAGTGACTTGCCCAGAATTACATAGCTATTAAGCGTTTGAGGCCAGATTTGAACTCTAGTCTTCCTAACTCTAGGCACAGCATTGTATCCACTGTGTCACCCGTCTGTCTCATAATTTAGACTATGTGACATTTAAGGCCCCTTTTATATTTGATTTAATAAAGCATCTACTATATGCAAGATACCATTCTTGATCCGAGGGACATAAAGATAAAAATCAATAATTTATTAAGCATTTGCTTGGCTTCAAGGGACTTATAGCTAATATTCTATGAATATTTTATTGACAGGAAAAGTGTACAAATCACTTGGGCCATTTCTCCATACTGTGGTCCTTTTTATGCAACTTACATAGAGTATCTACATAGTTCGAGTAGGAGCTTGCTCAAAGTAGTCCAGGAGAGAAAGAAGACAGGGGTGAGATGATGCTTAATTTCAGAGAGAAATTTTAAAGAGAACAGAATAGCTGAATACTTTTGCCATGTGATTCCTTCAGAAACTTAAGTGAAGGTTTCATCTGTTTTGCCCTTCAGTCCTCTTCTCAATCCCACCTGTAATTTGCATTGGGATAAAATTCTCTACTGCCCCACCTGCCTGTTGGCTGGATTTTTTCTTGCCCACTACTCTATAAATTTAAGATCCAGTTGATTATAGACTTCCAGCAAATAATACAGCCCTGAAGAAAAACCACCAACTCCTTAAATTTTGATAGAAGCCAGCTATGCCATCAATATCTAAACAAGGTCATGTTTCTAGGTTATAATAGTTGTTCAGTCCTAGATTTCATCCTTCATATGTTAGTATCTGATTGTGTTTTTTCTTCCACAGCGGAACTGAATATCATTGCTCCCATCATCTCCAACTTCTTCTTGGCTTCATATGCACTTATTAACTTCTCCTGTTTTCATGCATCTTATGCAAAATCTCCAGGTAAGTTGTGTTTGATATTTCAGAATGAACCAAAGAACTGGAAAACCCTTTGTTCGTCATCTATCCTGTTCCTGCCTCCTCACTCCTCCCTTCCGAAAAATTAGAGGAAGGATAACATGGTTGCACAACTGAATTTATAAGCATCTCTATACTTATATCCTGGTGGTGGGCAGTGTAATCCACTCTATGTCGGTGAGTTGGGGGATAACTTCTGAAATTGAAGGGGAAATCATATGATCAATGGCCTTCTTGACCAACCGTAAAGTCAATTTTCTCCTGCTGCAATAAATTATTCATTGCTAGAGAAACTACATTTATTTCAGCAGTAGAAAAACACGGCTATTTATTTCCAGGGTGAAAGTGGCCAAAGAAGTGGAATAAATGTATATATTTGAAACTTCCATACTATCAATTTGCTTCTTGCCAGTGGTACAGAGGAGAAAAAGGATGAGTAGCTTCCATAATTACCTACTGAGCAGAGTAAAGGCAGATCCATGGTGGGCAACTATCATTCAAATACAGATGACCTCAATATATTTCTTTACCTGGATTAATAGTGGCTCAAAATTGTAAACCAAAGACTAATTCCTCACCATGCCACCTCCCATTGCGCTCCTCCCCACCCCCACCACTCTCAGTACCTCTGCCACTTTTTTTCTTCCATTACCTAAATCCCTACCACATTAATGGGACAGGAGTCAAAGGACCTGAATTGGAATCCCAGCTCTGATGTTTTTCATCTGTGTTTATGTGTTGGAGGTAGGGGAACAGGGAGAGGAGGGAAAGAAAAAAGCATTTATGAAGTGCCTACTACAAACCAGTCACTGTGCTAAGTGTTTTACAAATATTACCTCATTTTTATCTCAAATATTATCTCACAACAACCCTGGGAAGGAGGTGCTAATATTATCCCCATTTTACAGTTGAGAAAATTGAGGCAGACAGAGATTAAGTGACTTGCCCAGAGTCACACAGCTAGTAAGTATCTGAGGCCATGTTTGATCTCAGGTCTTCCTGACTCCAGACTCAGCATTCTATCTACTTTACCCCCAGCTACTTTTAAGTGACTTTGGATAAGTTTCTGTATCTGTGAAATTAGGATGTTGGACTATAATGGATTTCCAAGGTTCTTTCCAACTTAGATGATCTCATGGTCCTAATCTTGGTTTTCAGGATTACTATTTCTTCAAAGCAGTACTTTTTGACTATCAGACAATTATCATTGAGAGCCATTTGTGTGATGTTAAAGCTTCTCCCCTTCCTTCTTGCTGTCTCCTTTTCCAGAAATCTGATTTGAAAGATATCTAACCAAGACAGATGGACCCTAGAAAAGGACCCTAGAAGGGAGCCCCTTCTTCCAAAAAAAAAAAGTTACTGATCCACAAAATCAGTTTAGGATGATGTATATAAAAATAAAATTATATTTTAAAAATGTTTTATGTTTGATGAGTAAGGTATCTGTGATTTATGGTTTTTTTCTTAATTCAACAATAAACATGTATTAAACACCAATTGTATAATAGCCAAGGCACTGTGTTAAGTGTTAGGAATGCAAAACTAAAAACACTTCCTTGAAGGAGTGTACAATCTACTAAGTAGTAGAAGACGTGTACAAATAATTCTAATGTAAGGCAAAATGTGATAATGAATAACAAACACTTATTAAGGACATAAACTGTACCAAGCACTTATAAAGAATGTGCTGCCAAAAAATTGCACTCCTTTTATGGGGAAGGAGATGATCAAAGAAGGCTTCATGGAGGAGGTGATACCTGACCTGGGCCTCGAAGTAAGGGGGGTATTTCAACAAGCAGAGAAATGAGCAAATCTTATGCTAAGCTAGTAGTTGTCACAAGCAATGTCATGAAGACCAGAGAAGCCAGTATGGGGGGGGGGTTAAATAGGAGGGAGGGGCAGAATATTTCCAGTATAAAATAAAATTGTGAAGACAGATTGGAACTTGATTACATAAAGCCCTGCATGCCAGCAATAGGAATGTATGCTTCATGAGTAACATGATCAAAGTGGTATATTAAGAGATGGAGACTCAAGAAGGCCACATGACTTACCTCATTATCAAGAAGGTAGTCAGAGATAGCACTTGGAGATTATAACCAGCATTCTAATGATATACTTATCCCTCCTACTAGATGATGAGGCACCATAGAACAATGGAAACAGCATGAAATTTGGAGTCAGAAGACCTGGGTTTGAGTCCTTACTGTTGTTTACTAATAATATAACTTTGAACAAGTCATGTAACTTCTCTGAGCCTCAACTTCTTCATCTGTAAAATGGGGATAGCAATTCTTTCACGATCTATTATTCAGAATTTGGTTATTGAGAAGATACAATTAGTTGACCCATGTAAAACTTTATATAAAATAAGATCTATGAGCTATTATTATAAGCTCCTTGAGGACGGAGGTTATGTCTTATGTGTCTCTCCCGACAGCAAGCACAGTCCTTCACATATAGTGGATGCAATAAATATTGAATTGAATTGAGGTTGAATGGAATTGAATTAAATAAACTTGTTCTTGATTTTCAGGCTGGAGACCTGCATATGGGGTTTACAACATGTGGGTATCTCTTTCTGGAGCCATATTGTGCTGTGCAGTCATGTTTGTTATAAATTGGTGGGCAGCTGTCATCACCTATGTTATTGAGTTCTTCCTCTATATCTATGTGACATACAAAAAGCCAGGTAAGCTCAGAAAGGCCCTTTCATTATACAGCTGTCAAATCATATTTGATGAACCAACCACGGTTGTCAGCACCACTTTCCATTTAACCATAGAAAACAACCAATGGGCAAGTTTGCGTACTGGTTGCTTGATAGCCGAGTTTTCTAGGGAAGAGGCAGAGGGGTTGTTTGCTGCTCCAAGCATCGAAATATCTTGAAAATGGTCGCTTAGCATCAACTGACCTTCCCCCATACTTACTGCCCACCATTTCTCTGATTTATTCAGAATAAGACTGATGGGGGAAAGTGTTGCCTTCATCCCAGAGATGATTTATAGAAGGTTGGGGGCTCCCCTTCCTTTCTCTGAGACTCTCTGGACTCATTAAAGTTAGAACATCCTTTTTTTTACCTTTAAGTTTGATGAAACAGAAAAAGGAAGCAGACTCTTCTCCCCTGCCACATAAAGTAATCCTTGGAGGGCCAGATCTAGAAGAAATACTGAAAATCAGTAAAGCTCTTTAGGGATATCCATTTTGCATGAATTCTTGCCCACTTCGTTAGCTTATTTATTCAGAAAAACATTTGCTGAGTACCATCTGCTTGCACATCCACCCCTTTTGTCTCCTTCTCTCATGCCCTTGAAAATGGCCCTTTAAGCTCTTTGTTTTTGGCATACGGATCTTATTCGTGGGCTGACTCACTTCTTGAGTCTGCTTGCCCAGAATGTGATCTTCATACAACCCCCTCCCCGAAATGAGAACCCAATAAAAGGCTACATGACTTACAGTTTCCTGCTTAGCTAGACATTCTCTACACAGAAACAATGTTTCCCACTCTTGGGTATTGTTTATGAATATACAAGACATTCTCTCAGACATTTGAGAAACACAGTGTAGTGTAATGGAAAGCACTCTGACCCTGGAATGAGAGGATGAGGGTTCAAATCCTGAAATTTATTACTACCTGTGATACTATGGGCAAATCATTAAATCTCCTACGGCCTTTAATTCTTAATCTGTAAAGAGAAGAGGTTGCACTAGATGTCCATTAAAGGTCCCTTCTAGCTCTAAACCTATGATCTTATAAACTCTACATTGTGATTCCTCCAGTTTTGACCCTTTTTTTTTTCTGTTGGTGAAGCTGAGGGAGGGAGGGAGGGAGGGAGGGAGGGAGGAGGAGAGGAAACATTTGCTTATTAAGAAGGACTATGCTCCAGTGCTAAGTACTTTACAAACATTATCTCACTTAATCCTCACAACGACCAGGGAAGGTAGATACTATTATTATCCCTATTTTATGGGGGAAGGAAACTGAGACAGACAGGGTGAAGTGACTTGCCCAGAGTCACACAATTAGGAAGCATTTGTGGCTGGATTTGAACTCAGGTCTTCTTGACTTCAGATTTAGTGCTCTCTGCTGTTCCTAGTTCAAAGGAGAAAAAAAAAACCCTAAACATTGCTTATTCTGTCATCATCTCTCTTCATCCATAGATGTGAACTGGGGATCCTCTACTCAAGCTCTTTCCTATGTGAGTGCTTTAGACAATGCGCTGGAATTAACCACTGTAGAAGATCATGTGAAAAATTTCAGGTAAAGTTAATTACAAAGCACCGTAGTGCTTTTTAAGAACATCTTCTTGCCGAATTGGACCAAGAGCTAAGCACAGATTCTTAGAAAAAAAATCAGATCTTTATCCATGAAAATACTACGTGTCCCTACCCATAATATCTGGTGCCATTTCCCATCCCTTCTTAGCCATGCCCATCCTCTCCTGTTGCTTCCCATATCGCCATGCATGAGTAGCCTTACCCACAGGTGAAGCAGGTAAAGACTAAAGAGCTTGCCATCTGTTGAGAAAACTTGAGAAGCATGACAGGGGCCTTCAAGTATTTGAAGGGATAGCATGTGGAAAAAGGTTTAACCTTAATTCTTCTTGGCCCCAGAAGGCAGAACTAAGGATAGGAAAGGGACAGGAGCTGTAGAAGGGCAGATTTAGGCTTGAGGTTGAGAAAAACTTTACCCTACTTCATCATTTTCTTCCAGTTGATTCCCTACAAAAATGTCTGGACAGCAGGCAACTCAAAGAACTCCAAGAAGTCTTCCCCAAATGCAACTCCCCATGAAAACTTTTAACAAAAAAAATAATTAAGTACTTTTTGATCTTTGCCATAAGTTTTATAGTCATCACTTGGCTTTTTTGTAGTCCTGGCTCTATGTTTACATGAATAAATAAATGTAAATAATTATACTCGGGTTCAAAAAAATCAAGTACAGCAGGGGGGAAACCATGGTTAGAGTACAGTTGTCTAAAAAAAAGTTCTGGGAGTTTTAGTGGACCACAAGCTAAATACGAATCACCAAGGTTATGTAACAGTCAAAAAAGCCAATGCAAATTTGGGTTCTATTAAGAGAGGCCTCACTTCCAGGAATAATGAGGCGATGGCCTCTCTGTACTCTGCTTTGATCAGACCATATCTGTAACATTATGTTCTGTTCTTGCTGAACCCAGTTTAAGAAGAACATTGACAAGCTGAAGAAAGTGCAGAGGAGGGCTACTGGAATGGCGAAGGCCTTCAGTCCATAAGAATCAGAAGAACTGGGAATGTTTAGTCCAGAGAAGACTTAGGGCAAAAAGAGACGTGATAACTGTCTTCATATATGTGAAGGACTGAGTGTGGAGTAGGAGTTCATCTTGTTCTATCTGGCCCCAAACCAAACAGGAGTAGGTGGACATTGTAATGAGGCAAATTTAAACTTGAGGTCAGAAAAAGCAAAAAGTCTTACCAATGATGGAGGTTCAAATGTAGAATGGGCTGTCTTAGGAGGTGGCTAGTTCCTTCTCATTTGAGGTTTTCAATTGGAATAGACTTTAGTGAGGATTCTTTTTGAATAGGCTTTGAACTGAATGGCTGCTGAGGACCTTCCCAACTCCAAAACGCTGTGATCCTATGCATGTGATTCTATTTCCATGGCTAGTGCTTATCATTTATTTTCCATTTGTAGGCCCCAGTGTATTGTTTTAACTGGTGGACCCATGACGAGACCAGCTCTACTGGACATAACGCATGCATTTACCAAGAACAGTGGTCTCTGCATCTGCTGTGAAGTCTATGTGGTAAGCATCTGGAGGGCAGAACTGCAGAGTTAAGGGGATGGATGCCAGGACCGATGGAAGGTGTGTGTTCATAGAAGACTCTTGTGGCCTCCTGCCCTTCCCTTTGTTATTGTCAGGGAAGGGGCAGGATCATTAGCAAGAAAGCAAGGGGCAGGCGGGATAGTTCTTTCTTCTGATTCATAGAGTAATGAGCAGCAAGTACCTGTGTTCCTGAATTTAAATGGTTAGATGAAATATGTTTCAGATTTCATGGGAGACCAACTAAAAGTGATAAATATTTGCAAATGAAGGCCTCAGAGTAAAAAATAAGAGAACTGACTGTGTACAGCTCAAAGAAAAAGTTGGGGGTATGGGGGCATAACTGTGAGTGGAAGCATAAAGGGATTTAATAGAGAGAATAGGGATCAATTTTCTGAGTAATTGATGAGGAGAGAAGTAAACATAATGGGCTTCCATGACAGTACATCACATTTAGGTTAAATATTTGGAAAAATCTGTTACACTAAGGTTACCTGGGGAATGAAGCAAATTTATCCAGGCCCTATAGAAACATTAAAAGCCAAAATTAGTCCCTGTGTGTTCTTCAGGAAGCCTGTCAATAGTTACTGATGCCATAATTTATTAGTATCTTTTTTCTGAAGGAAAGTGGATTGCCAAATTTAACCACCACCATCATCACCAATCTGTGAAACAGGAAGGAACAATAATAAAGCAATCCACTCATGCTGCCCAAAACATACTTGATCCTTTCTAATGTTTTTGCATTAGTTTCCCCATCTGTAAAATGGAGATAATCATAGCACCTATCTCAGGGTTGTTGAGATAATGTATGCAAAGTGCTTTGCAAACCTTAAAGTACTATATAAATATCAGCTATTATTATTATCATAATCCATATGTGCACAGGCATCTCTATCAAAGGCCCCAGCTATTAATTTGTACACAAAATTAGCAAAGTACTTCAAAACCATAGTATGGTATGTTTTATGGGAGCTATAATGATGAGCTATTGTATCATGTTTTTCATTTTTTCAAGTCATTTTCATATCTATTACCCAACTGCATTCTCTTAACTATCTGTCAAGGTAAGTAGAGCAGGTATTATTATCCTACCTGACAGATGAGGACATTGAAATCCAAAGAGGTAAAGGCTAGAGACACACATCTAGTCCATAAGCCTGAATTCAAACTCTTATCTCTCATACTCCAAATCCAGTGATCTTTCTGACGCTATTCTAGGAATCATACCCATGTCCTTAGACCTATTGGGAGGCAGTGTGTCACACTGGAAAGAACAGTTCTGGAATCAGAGGACTTGGGTTCAAATTCCTCCCCTGATATTTACCATCTATGTGACCTTGGGCAAGTCATTTAACTTTCAACAGCCTTACTTTCCTCACCTGTAAAATGAGGAAATTGGATTAGATGACCTCCGAAGTCTCTTCCAGATCTAGGCATATGATCCTAGGATCTAACACGAGTGGCATTGGTCCCTCCAGAGACCTTCTGGACCTTCTAGGAAACAGGCTCTTGAGAAGTGATGTGGCCCTGAGGCCAGCCAGTCAGCAAGGCATAATGCAAGCTTACTTTTGCAGTTAGCAACATCCCAGGTGCTATGTAAAGCAAATACTCCTGCCCTCTTGGAGTTTACACTCTAACATTGGAGAAGATGTAACCTCATGCAATCTCCTAAAAGAAAAGATGGCAACCTAGAAAACACTAACGGGATAAGTAATTGACAAACTATGACGTCAACCATTTTTAATCTTTTAAGCACCTTTCTCTCATGTTATCAGCTTTGGCATCCTGGGTTAATAGAGTTTCATTTTTTTGCCAATATGCGACAGGGGCCTGTTTTGATGGAGTAAGCACTTTGGTGTGTTTTCCTTATCTAGCAATTTAGGCAAAATTGAGTTTAGTGGGCAATGAAAATATGATTGAGTGAAATTCCCTGCTTTCTTTAGCAATGGAGAAATGAATTGGGGTAGGGGGGCAAAAATGGTTATAGATTGGCAAGAATAAATAGGGCCAATAAGGTCATGGTTTTAATCCCTTCGTTACCACAGCTAGGAAAAAAAGATGCAGTTGCTTCTAAAACTCAGTTTTATCATAAGAAATCTGACTGGCAGCTACATCACCACCTTTGGGAGGGTTCTTTGTCTGTGTAACATGTGTCTTGGGCCATATCATACGTTTCCATGTTGATTGCCCAAGAGTTCTGACCCCAGGTGATTGTATTCTCTTAGGGGGCTCAAAGCACTTTCTGCAATGGTTATGATTTGTCAGTCGCTTTCTGGGAGCTCTTGGGACTGCAGATGTTGTCAATGTTATTATGCTCCAAGCTTAATTGTCCATCACCTTTTTGCAAAAGAACATAGAGAGGCAGAGAGAGAAGCTTTGCCACAGGAAAAATGATTTCTTAAAGCACTGGCCTAGGCTGGCCTCGGGTGCAGGCAATGGGTGGGGAGATAAATGCTAAATTGTAATAATGATGTAAGAATGACAAAAACAATATTGGTTTTCACCCTAGGGAGCTGGTGCTTAGTCATCATTTTCAGCCTTAGGAGTATTTCCATTTCACATATAAACCAACAACTTCTGCTTTTGGGAATGACAAAATTTAGGTACTAGATCTTTTAGGGCCCTCAACAGGTTAATAATGAGCAATCTGCCACCTGAGAGGTCATGGAAGTTGTAGCCTTTGTCTACATCTCTCTGGGACTGACAGGCATGTGAGTCATTGGGAAGAAGGGAAGGCCCACGGCTCATTGGCCTTCCAAATATCCTGAGGCTGGAGAGAAGGATCACTACCAGACACACCACAGGCTGCTGGCACATCCCCTTCCTTGACCCCTGGCCATGGAAGTAGAGGGCTAGGGCTGGAAGCCTCCAGGATTGAAAAGTTGGCAGCTAACAACTGTAACATTAGCGTTTCCCCATTGTCCTAATGCGTGTGAGTCTTGAAGTAAGGCATAATAGTAATAATAGCTTTTATTTAGATAGTGGTTTATACTTTACAAAGTGCTTTAAATTAGAAGTAATAAAAGTAATATTATCTCCATTAAAGGGATGAGGAAACTGAGACCTAGAAAGAGTGAATAATACAATAATTATAGCTGTGTTTACAATGCATTTTACATATATTATTACATTTGATCCTCACGGTAATCCAAGAGGCAGATGTTATCATTACCCCCATTTTACAGATGAAGAAACTAAGGCTGAGTGACTTGCCCAAGGTCGCACAGCTAGTAAGTGTCTGAAGAAGGATTTTAATTTAGGTCTTCCTAACTCTAGATCTAGCACTCCATGCATTGGAACCACCTAGAAATGTACATCTAAGTGACGCATGACCACACAGCTAGTGAGTATCAAAGCTGGGACAAGAACCTAGGTTTTGAGGCTCCAAATGCATGGTTCTTTCCATATTTGAATTGAGGCCAGTTATTTTCATAATAATAAGATAGTTCAATTTCTAATACAGTAAATATTGATAGACATAATCCACATCAACAAAAGCTCTTGGGGGAAGAGTCCTTAATAATTTTTGAGGGTGTAAAGAGGTCCTGAGGCCAAAACGTTTGAGCGTCTCCGTACAACACTATTATGTAAAGAGGCAGGTCAGTCAATGGTTTTTGGGATTCAAAAGGCACATACAGCATTTTCCTTTTCCATTCTCTTTTTCTTTCTTTTTTCTTTTTCTTTTTTTAAGGCAATTGGGGTTAAGTGACTTGACCAGGGTCACACAGCTAGTAAGTATCAAGTTTTTGGTCTAAGGCCAGATTTGGACTGAGGTCCTCCTGACTTCAGAGTCGATGCTCTATCCACTGCACCACCTAGCTGCCCCACCATTCCCCTTTTCTGAATTTTCCTTTATATACTTTTTTTTTCTAATTTAAAAGGTCATTTAGGCTACTAAGTACATAATTCTATGCAACTTGGTTGGTTTTTGAAGAAGGAACATTTATTTTTCTTACTTTCTTACTGTCTTAGGCCTCGAACCTCCTTAAGAGAGCCTGAAAATTAGCTCTCTTCCCATTGTGTGAGGATAGAGAACAGTCACATGAAACTTCCCTGCAACAGCACATCAATCCCCCTAAGTCCACTTTTGTAGCTACAGATTGGAAGTCTAACCTATGGACCTCCAGAATGTCTTCATTTATTGTTTTGCCAAATAACATAATGCAATGTCTTTTTGGTATCTCCTTCTGGCCTTCAACTATGAAACTATTTCTTGGCCCTGGGCTGTCTGACCCAGAACCACTTTCTTTCACCTGTGGGACTCCAGACCTCCCTTTGTATCATGATCCTTTCTTTCACCTATGTTCCTTCTGTTACATATAAAAATGGGCCCAGGATCCTAGCTTCTCCCTCTTCTACCACTGCTGTCCCTCTGATATACACATGACCTTTCCATAGGCTCTCTAACCATTAGGAAACAGATTTACAAATATCTAACAGAAGGCAAAGGTTATAAAGCTACAAGGTATCTGAAAAGGGGATCTTGGTCTTTAAGGAAAGTGTAAATGGAGCTAGGGCTTGTCTTTCTTAGCTCCCTCCTTTTTTGCTGACATATTCTCTTAGTATTTATCCCCAAAGGAAGCCTCACTCAGACTTTTCTAGACCAAGCTCTCACACTCCTAACCTGGGATAAATCTGGATTGGCAGCTGTCTAGTTCATTCAGTTGCTTCCCAAATCCACTTTCTGGTCTTATCTTCACAGCCCCTCTCTAAGCCATGCTTCCTGACTTATTTTCAAAGACACTGAGAGGTTAAATCACTTGCTCAGGGTCACATGGACAACATGTATCAGAAGTGAGATGGGGAACTTGAACTCTACTCTTACTGACTACAGGGCTAGCTGTCTGCCCACTCTGCCTCACTGCCTCTCATGGGAAATCCATAAATGTTAGAGCCTGGTGACCCATCCCTCTTGTTTTATTTGAACTCCAGCAGCTCTACCTATACGTGGATACTTAGGTAAAATCAGTGCTGCAAAA